TTCGCGATCTTGTTCCATATTTTTACGTTCTTCTTCTTGCCTGTTTCCTAACTCTTCTATCAGCCGAGTGAGTTTCTTTAATTGGTCTTCTTTTTCTTCCAAAACATTTATATGACTGTATTGAGGCTTTGATCCTCTCCGTATTCTTTCTGATCCCAGATAAGATTCTTCTCTTAGGGCTATTTCAATCGCCTTATCCAATGAAGTACATTCATTAACATGTATTGCTCGGCGTATGTCATCCTCTGCAATCGCCTGCTCAAAACTACGCCTTGCTAATCGGTCCTGTTCTGACCTACTCATCTCAGGATATGCCAATGCTGTAAGTCGCCTGATATCCTGTCCTAAAGTTTGTAATGATTCCTTTGGCTTCCTCACTCGCCCAAGTAATTCAGCCTCATATATCTCAGCTTTTCCTTCTGGCCCATATCTCTTCTCCAAGGCTAAAACTAACTGGTCATATGTGTACTCAGCTTCCATTTCCAACACAATCTGTTGGGCAGTCCCTCGCAGACTGGTAGCTAAGTATTCATTTTTCTCTTCTGAGGTCCAGCTGTTAGCTTTAGCACATATCTCAAAATGTGCTCGGTACTCTTGCCAAGGAGTTGTACCATTGTAAGTCTCAGGCTTTATCCTGTTCCTAGGTTTGGACATCTGACTTAACATCCTCACTAAGTCCATTGACTCACTAGAGGAATTGGTATAAAATTTTCCACTCTTCTCATTAGCAGAATCGCCACATGGAACTCTAGTTTCAAATTCATGTTCATCAACAGGAAATTGTTTCTCGGAATCATGGTTCCTTTGAATATGCCCCTTACTTGGGCCTGCAACTTCCTGTGCAGCATACTTGCTTTCTGCAGCACAAACTTCCTCATGTTCACAGTGTATCCCAGCAGGATCTCGCTGGTCTCTACCAGCAGGTATGTGTGTTGGAGTTGTGTAAATTCTGTCTTGTCTCTCCAACTTCCATGGCCCCCTTTCTGGAGTAGGGAGTTCAGGTGTAAACCAATCTGTGTTCTGCTGAAACTGCCTCATGGGCAAAGGAGGCGACCTTTGTGCTCCCCTTCGAACTCCACTTGGAGTTACATACAAGTCATTATCAATAGCCTTCCCTGCATACAAAACACCATTGGACTTGGTCCCCTTACTAGCTGCTTCCGTATTACTCTCTAATCTTTCGAGGATCGCCTGCAACCGATCCATATCTCTTATTTGTTGCTTTTCTCTAATTTGTTGTGTACGTCTACTTTCTGTCAATTGCTCTGCTATTCGAGTCATACTATGAGTCTGTCTTTGTTGGGTCTCTTTAATATCATCCAACTGTGTCTGTCGTGCCTCTGCAATATTCCCAAAAACAGACACCTGATCTCGAAGCTGACCTTCCACCATAGTTAAATCTTGTTTCACTATATCCTCTGATTGTCCCTTATTCAAAGGCTGATCAATCATGGTAGAAGTCATTGGACTCTGTCTTCTCACAGTAGGATTCATCTTATCCTTATTGAAGGGATTCGCTTGAGTCTCTAAATTGGTCAGTCCTCCTCTAGACCAATACCCTGTACCTAAACTACTAGGAAATCCTCTCTCCTCAGCTTCTCTCATTGGATCCTTAGCTCCAAGATTCCTTAACTCCCCAGAATATGTCTTCACATATACAGAAGTCTCCCCTTCAATATCTACATAATCTCCACGCTTCGGATATGGGAGACTGGGCTCTGGATCCATCTTGAAACTGTATAATGTACCTCTGGTTTAAATCTTCAGACACAATCAATCCCACCGCTGCCACCAGTGTAACAGTTTGGCCTTTTTTGTGGATATGTGGTAGTGTGGCTAATAAAAAGACCACTGTTTAGTAAACGGTGTTTACTTGTGGATTGCACGGCACACGTTAAATGTGCTTTGTCCCTAAAGAAATAAACAAAATATACAATTTTATATATATAATATAAAACAATATATTGTGGCGTTTATAAGCCCAAATAAGATGTACATGCAATTTCAAATGTAATGTAAGAATATTACGGTGTTATTATTTCTCTCAAAACTCACAACTCAAAAGTCCATATGAGCTAATAATAATTATCACTGAAAAAATAATATCCAGAGTCCATATAAATTGAAACTGATGATCACTATATAACACTGTTGTATCCCGAATATGCAAAGTTCATGTAAATTGTACCACTTGTACGTCTTGTATTGTTATTGTATCTTGAACCTGGAATAGTAATCTCCTGGATCCTCTTCTATGTAGTGTAGTATGATTCAAGTTTGATGATGTGAAATCATCCAAGTCAAACTATCAGCTCTCCTGGATCCTCGTCACTGTGTAATAGTATAATTCAACTTTGATTAAGCGAAATAATCTAAGTCAAACTATCGGCTCTGTAAATGGCTATCTCCTGGATCCTCCTCACTGTGTTGTAGTATAATTCAACTTTGATTATGCGGAATAATCTAAGTCAAACTATCGGCTCTGTAAATGGCTATCTCCTGGATCCTCCTCTATGTGTTGTAGGATAATTCAACTTTGATTATGTGAAATAATCTAAGTCAAATTATCAAGTCTGGAAACGACTATCTCCTGGATCCTCCTCAATGTGTTGTAGTATAATTCAACTTTGATTATGTGAAATAATCCAAGTCAAATTATCAAGTCTGGAAACGACTATCTCCTGGATCCTCCTCAATGTGTTGTAATATAATTCAACTTTGACTATGTAAAATAATCTAAGTCAAATTATCAAGTCTGGAAACGACTATCTCCTGGATCCTCCTCTATGTGTTGTAGTATAATTCAACTTTGATTATGTGAAATAATCTAAGTCAAATTATCAAGTCTGGAAACGACTATCTCCTGGATCCTCCTCTATGTGTTGTAGTATAATTCAACTTTGATTATGTGAAATAATCTAAGTCAAATTATCAAGTCTGGAAACGACTATCTCCTGGATCCTCCTCAATGTGTTGTAGTATAATTCAACTTTGACTATGTAAAATAATCTAAGTCAAATTATCAAGTCTGGAAACGACTATCTCCTGGATCCTCCTCAATGTGTTGTAGTATAATTCAACTTTGATTATGTGAAATAATCCAAGTCAAACTATTGCTCTGTAAACGGCTATCTCCTGGATCCTCCTCAATGTGCTGTAGTATAATTCGACTGACTATGTAAAATAATCTAAGTCAAATTATCAAGTCTGGAAACGACTATCTCCTGGATCCTCCTCTATGTGTTGTAGGATAATTCAACTTTGATTATGTGAAATAATCTAAGTCAAATTATTGCTCTGTAAACGGCTATCTCCTGGATCCTCCTCAATGTGTTGTAGTATAATCACTAAATCACTAAAGTCAAACTATCACGATTGACAAAGTTGAAGAACGTCTTATATGGCATCAACTGCTAAGTACACAAACTTCCTTCACAATTAAGTAATCAGTCTACCTACAAATATAGCATGCGAACAACAGCATAGGCAAAAATATTACAAGTCAAAATATTTGCCCTTGAAAATAACTAAGTTCAGTTAATGTTGAGTTATACTGATATTGAAATATTCTAAGTTCAATATTTATCCTCCAAAAAAAACAAAGTCCAAAATAATGTTTCTCCAAATATTGACTAAGTTCAATAATTTCTATCTCAAAAATACGCAAAGTCCAATTTCATGTGTTCATGAAATTGAACTGACAGAGCTCAGTAATCTAGTATAGGCTTGATGCTGCCTCCAAACACGGTACTGAATATTCCCTCTTAAGGTATCCTCTACACAAATACACGGGTAGATGGCCAAGTTATCATCTACAGAATCACGGTGTAGCAGTCTTCCCTCTCAGGTATCCTTCATCACAAGTAGATGTCCAAGTTATCATCCACTGAACTGAAGTGCAGCTATGTATCTCCTATCTGCCTCGAGAAATATTCAAAGTCCCAACAACTTTCTACTGAAAGTTGTCAAAGTCCAAAAATATTTCCTTGAAAAACGACTAAGTCCAACTTCACATAAAAATATGAAATTGGACGGAGCTCTGTCCCGAACGAAAGCTAGCTGTAATCTGCCGAGTTTACATCGGCGAAATACTTATATAGGCCTGGTGACGTCATCACTTTTCGAACAAGATTTCAAAGTTGAATAACAAGTTATTGACGCCATATCCTGCTTTAATATTACGCATACAACAAGATTTTAATATTGACTCAAGAAATATAACAGTAATTGATCGCTACTTACTCTAGTTTTACTTCGGTTTGATAGAATCAAAAGCAGGAAGCAAAATAATAAAGCTGCCATGTTAGACTACCGATCAACTACAAATTAGACTGCCAGATAAGACTGCCCGATCAACAAAATCTTGATTAAATAAAATATGCGAACTATTTCACCTCTGTAAGTACAACCTAAGTGCTGCAAACATTGCTACACGTTACCATCCTAATGATCTCACATGTAAACCACAAATCAAGTGTAATAAATGTATAAAAACGAGTTGACAGCACCAAATCAAAAATCAAAAAATTCAAAATTTTGTTACACTGTGTTACAAAAACAGAGCTTATAAAGAATTATAATTAGTCACACCTGTTTCAAAAGAGGAGATCAAGATCTCAAATTGACCTTTTAATTATTTTTGACAGGTAATTTAAACACAAACTGCTTAACTATGATAAGGCAGTTGCAGAAAATCTGCGAGGTATCTTATATCTGATTCAATGTTCACTAGAGACAGGATAATTCAACTGATGTTGCCAGGATTTAGTGTACACTGTTCATAGTTGGTAGGTGTTCACTATAGGATTGTACTTTAACATGGGAGTCAATGGGAGAAAAATGTTTTGCCGAATAAAAACGTTCACAGTTGATAGGTGATAATATTCATTTTCCATTTGTGATGAAATTATGATGCTCTTTTCTTTCAGCCCACCCCTACAAATCTTTCAAAAATAAACCAGTCCAAAATATTGACCAATCAGAGAAGGCGTTTCTTTCAGTCCTGGCCTAGCTTTTACAACAACAAGAAGGTGAAAACCGCACTTTTTGTCCCATTTTTATCTGCAAAGTTGAATTAGTATGCAATATTGTTGAAAAAACTATTACAAATTATTGGATAGAGTATTACTTTAAGCACACTTTGGCATACATCGTTAGCGTTTTAATGTTGTAGATTTTCTGAAATCAAGATGCAAAATCACATCCCTTTTGAATCAGCTTCTGAAATTGAGGAATATGAAAATATCAGAAGAGATTGTCTTAGAAGAAGGATATTATTTGAAGATGCAAAGTTTCCAGCAAATGATCAGTCACTCTACTATAGCCGTCAGCCTAAGTACAGAATTGAATGGATGCGACCCATGGTAAGTCAAGAAAATAAATGACATTTCAAATTATGAGAAATATTATTTACCATGGACTTGAGTCAACGTTTCTTTCGAAACTTACTGCCATATAATGTATCCAGGATTGGAAACAGGAATTCCAAAAAAGTTGCCTGTTTTATCTTCCTATTCTCCCCTTAAATAGCTAATCTTGGTGACTTGAACTTGTACTGCTGTCTATGTCTATGTCAATAATCTGCAAAAGGCTAATAAGCCCATATAAAGCAGATATATAATTTGACAGCTACAGTGGGGAACATAAAGAATTACTATAGCTATGAAAATTACATGTTGTCGCACATCAGTGTATTCAGTGCTCTATTTTTCCGTCCTAGTAAGTCCGGATATAGTGGAATTTGTGTCCATAATGACAACTAAGAACTTATAAATTTGAAGTGTATATTCATATGTTAATGCCGACTTCAAATATTGAGGTGATTTTGGAGCCAGATTACGCCGCAATGAAGATTGGCTCCCAGAATGCAACATGAAACGTGCCAGCTTTCAAAATGCTGTTCCACCATTTTGAAACCTGTCACGAGTAAATAAGGTGAAGCGATGTTGCATTCTGGGAGTCAATCCTCCTTGGATCACAAACATGGTGATTCATGAAAACTTTCGTTCGATTTGGTAGGGATTTATCCATCATTTGCAGGTATGAAGCTTTGGATTCATTTATTGTGCTACTTAAACTGAATGGGAATTATTTTTCTACCGCTTGAGAGAGTTTGATTCACAAAACTTAGAATTTAGCTCATTGTGACAACTTTTGATGGTTGAGGTTTATTTTTGTTCCCTACTTTATCCTATCACTCGAAATTATAACTGTCATTGTATCTATTAGCCTCATTTGACAGTTTCTTGTTGACTGGTAAGATCCAGTCAGAGTTTTAGCAATGGATAATGTTTTCAGAATTATGAACATCAGTCTATACCATGACTAATCAAATAGCACGATATGATCACATGATCAATACAAGAGTTAACCAGTGATGCCTGTTTATAAAGAGGTGATCACGTGACCTTCTGCCAAAGCGCTGGCTGCTTGTTTCCAATCCTGGCAAAATTATATGGCAGTAACGTTGACTCAAGTCTGTGTTATTTATAATGTTTATAACAACTTCCTTCTCGCTTATATCATTTTGACCACTGACATTGTGATTTATGTTCCAGGAAATTTCCGCAAGGTATAATTCGAGGCCCCAACTGTTTGTAGATGGAGCAGGAAGATTTGACCTTAGACAGGGGACACTGGGTAAGTCATTTCTATTTTGAAATTAATAATTAGAAATGGAAAAGATGTATAATGACCTGAGAGCGCCCCAGGGGTATGAGTAACGAGCCAGATAAAGAAATTGTAAGAAAGTGTGCCAAATTTAATGACCCGTGTGGGAATCAAACCCAGGACCCTTGGAAAGACTGATGCTCTACTGACTGAGCTATAGAGGCTTAAGTCACAGCAGCTGGACTGTAGTAAATTAGCAACTTGCTATCCAGGGTTGTTACAATAGTTTTCATCACAAAGTCCATCACCATCACCCTGCAATCGCTAACCATATGAAACCATATCTTACTTCATTAAGCTTCAAACCTTTCCTTATTAATAGAGAGTAGTGATGGAACATGGCTAGTACTCTGTCAATACTAAATGGTAGCTACTTTAGATTACAACTAGTTTGATAGTTTCAGTGTTTGAAGAGTAAATTTTTATGAGGGTTGAAGGGATAATAAAAATTGGAATATGTACCAAGTCAGTGATAAGTTGTTTATTAAATACCAAAGTAATCATAAAGTAGAGATATAGCATATACTTTTGACCACTTTTCACTGCTCCGTGAATGGCATTTAGCACAAATGACAACATGGAGAAATCAAAATTATAACCCACAGTCACACTCCTGTAGTAATGAAAATGAATGTTCTCAAATAATGAACTAGTGCCATATATAGATTGCACTTCATAACTGTGTTGTTCTGAACTTCATAGAATTCACTGCATTAATTTATTCATTTTAAACTATCATATTTTAATTTTTCTCTTTGATTTATTTTAATGTCCTGTAGATTATTAAATAACAGTTCAGTTAATTTATGATTTAGGATATTTGAAATATGATTTTGCATTAAGTTCAAAATCATATTTGTTTCTGATGTCATTTGGGGAAACTTGTTCAGAAGATATTACATATAAAAAAAATTATACTCCGTGATATCGTGAAAATATTCAATTCTACTAACCCTACATTATAGAAATTGTTTTCCTATATTTGATTCACTTGTTTTTCCAGGTGATTGCTGGGTAGTGGCCTCCACTGCTTGCATGTCAGAAAATATGGAACTACTTTATCGTGTAATACCCAGGGGTCAAGGGTTCCATGATGGACATTACGCGGGAATTTTCGTCTTTCTTTTCTATCGCTTCGGACAATGGAAAGAAGTGGTCATTGATGATCGATTGCCTACTGTGAATGGACAGTTATTTTTCGTGCACTCCAGAGCCCCGAATGAATTTTGGGGTGCCTTACTGGAAAAGGCCTACGCAAAGTAAGTAGAAATTAAAAACTTTAAGTGCTGTTAGTTGAAGTGTAGGATAGTCTTTTTGTCAATATGCAAGTTTTATGACATACATATGATGATGTATGGTGTAAACTGTTAACAAGACAGTGGGCCAATATAAGTTCTGAAAAGCCCACGCCCGATAACTTTCTGATTGGTCAAGACACTGGGACTACTACACCACGCCTTACCATCGCGTTAGCAGGCGTCACCGTACAGCGTCAAAAAATAGCGGAGTACAGTTTTCTGTACGGTAACGCAAATTAACTGCTTTGAAGCAAAAACTATGACAAGGATTTAAAAAAATTAATTTGATGAAAACTAATACGATTTCATGTGAAATAAAAACAGCATTCTCTTAGAAATGGTTTTAACTTTCTGATTATGATAAACGTGTTACGAGCACTGTTCGGATTTTTTCTGAGTGAATCGGCCCACATAATCGACCAGAGTGAAAAAAGGTTGTTTTTTCACATTTTGTTTGGTTATTATTTTCCCTACCGTCTGAGAGTATGGATTATTTTTATGAGAATATGTATTTGTTACTTACACATTTTAGAACGGGCGAAGATTCAGCAAACAACCATTCATTATGTATATTTAAAAAAGATCAAATTTGTACGGTGACGCACCAGCTGTACGGTGACGCTATGCTTTGATGAACTAAATGAGACTAAGATTGTATGAAATGGAAACTCTGGAGTATGATCATTTGTTCATATATAGTGCATGGGCGCTACAGTTCAACGATATCTTCTACAGCTTAATGGAAGGTTACTGGAAATGTATGATACGGTAAGATCATGAAACCAAAAACTCTCTTGTTGCTATGTTATTGATGTTTTAAAACAAGGGATGTCACAAGTAAATCTCATCTTGCACGTGTGACTTTTTAGGATGAAAGATGCAATATCTTGCATGGGGTAAAGATGGCTGTGTAGGCTATCTTTGTTAATCATATGAGAAAAGCCTGGTTTAGTTCAAATGATACCAAAGCATTACGTCAACTTTCAAATAGTTAATTCCATGAAAACTAAAAATATCGAAATTAATACTTCCTGTCCGCCATCTTAAATGCGAAGGTGACGGCTGTAACCTTCGCTTGATACTTACCAGTGATAATATACATGTAGATCTGACGCTTCTTAACCTCTTGTTCGAACAGTAAGTTTAGAGCACTTCATAAAATCTAAGGAAGCGTCACCGTACAGCTGATGCGTCACCGTACAGTTCTGATCTTTTTTAAATAAATACACTGAATGATTATTTGCCGAATATTCATCTGTTCTAAAATGTGTAGATAACAAAAACATATTCTCATAAAAATAATCCATACTCTCAGACGACAGGGAAAATAATAACCAAACGAAAAGTGAAAAAACACCATTTTTCTCTCGAGTCGATTATGTGGGCCGATCCAGTCAGAAAAAATCCGAGCAGTGCTCGAAAAACTTTTATCATAATTAGAAAGTTAAAACCATTCCTAAGAGAATGCTGTTTTCATTACACCCGAAATCGTATTTATTTTTATCTAATTAATCTTTTTAAAACCCTCATTATAGTTTTTGCTTCAACTCAGTTAATTTTCGTCACCGTACAGAAAACTGTACTACTGTATTTTTTGACGCTGTACGGTGACGCCTGCTTACGCGATGGTTAGGCGTGTACACATTTCTAACCGATCAACTGATGATAACACTATATGTGAGCAATTTTTCTAAATCCTTCAGTCAATATTTATTTTATGTAATCATATTTCGTATAAAGAGTTCCAATGAGCACACATGCGACTTTTATGTTGAGTATCTTCATCTGAACTATCACAAAATTGCAGGGAATTCAAATTTCGTGACATATTAGATGTAAACTTTGTGTGTAAAAGCTGGTAGTTTGAGGACGTTAAACAGATTTCATATTTCCCCTTCGAAATCCTCATAACACCTGTTACTAATGACAAAAAATGACTGTGAAAGTTGTCAAGGCGAGTGCCAAATATGAGATAGGATTAGGAAATTCTGTGTGGAAAATCAAATTCTGCAAAATTTTGAAAACCAAAATTCTGTGGTTTTTCTACAGCAATGCGAAATCATGGAATTCTAGTTTCTGTGTACAACACATATTAGTTGAGTTTGTGATGAAATCAATAAAAACAAACGTATGCAGAAACTTAAAAGGTTGATAAGATATTTCTGAAACATTTCCAATGTTTGCCATATGTCAGAATATTTATTAAGGCCTGAACTAGGGTTTATCCATTGTTTTATCAACAGTCCTTACTCTTTTATTTAAGAGACTTTTGGGTGCATACTTCAAAGGTGTCTGAAAGATTAGAAAGAGAACACTGAACACCTCTCTAATTCGAACACCTCTAAATGTGAACACTTTTGGGCTGTCCCAGTAGCATTCGGATGAGACAGGTTTTAATGTGATTGATATAAGATAATTGTACATTAAAACAAGGCCACGAACAAAGACCTCCCTTTGAATTTTCTGAACCATTACAACTTGTAATTTACAAGTAGAAATATATTTTTTATTTCAGTCCAATGGAGTTATATTAAAAGTTAAATGAATTGAGTGTATAAATTTTCATTGAACAACATTTTGTCATTAATCAACAAACAAAAGAACAATATCTATTAACCAAGCACCTAATGGAATATCAATTGAATGGAATTCTTGAATCATGAATCAGAGGATTGACAATTTTACAGTTTGGCCATTTAGCGATTCAATGAAATTCAAAGAAATGTTTTAAAGTTTAGTTCATTCTTAGTCTACTACTGGCCAGATGAAATAAAGCATGTTGGATTTAAAGACATATAACACAAATAAATTATGTACTAAAAGTTTGGACTGGTGCAATGTTATACTCATAGTAAATATATACAAAATAGAGATAAGGCCCAGTTATATACTCCAAGTGAAGTATGTAATCCAAACAATTAAATGTAATGAGATGATTAGATAAACAATAAGGAAGCTAATTACAATGACTAATGTTGCTAACTCTAACAGATTGGATGATTTAGATAAATATATGCATGTACATGTTCAATATACATATTAGTGGAATGGATATAGTCTAAGCCAGAGAGATGGCTAAAAGAGCGAAAGAGAAAAACTATGTATACTCCTCAATTGGCAATAATACAAAAAGCTTACAAATCACCTAATAGGAGCATTTCAGGCTAGCTAAGAATACTGATAATATTTGATAAGAAACCATTATTTTTGCATTAGAAATTCACCATTGAAAGTATCCTTGCTACTCCCCTGGACCCCATGTGTATTAGCTTTTGCTTCATACTTTTTTTGGTATGTGCTCAGTGTTCGCCCCCAGATAGCACCTAGCTACAGCCTAATGGGGTCCCAGATAGCACCTAGCTACAGCCTAATGGGGTCCCAGATAGCACCTAGCTACAGCCTAATGGGGTCCCAGATAGCACCTAGCTACAGCCTAATGGGGTCCCAGATAGCACCTAGCTACAGCCTAATAGGGTCCCAGATAGCACCTAGCTACAGCCTAATGGGGTCCCAGATAGCACCTAGCTACAGCCTAATGGGGTCCCAGATAGCACCTAGCTACAGCCTAATAGGGTCCCAGATAGCACCTAGCTACAGCCTAATGGGGTCCCAGATAGCACCTAGCTACAGCCTAATGGGGTCCCAGATAGCACCTAGCTACAGCCTAATGGGGTCCCAGATAGCACCTAGCTACAGCCTAATAGGGTCCCAGATAGCACCTAGCTACAGCCTAATGGGGTCCCAGATAGCACCTAGCTACAGCCTAATGGGGTCCCAGATAGCACCTAGCTACAGCCTAATGGGGTCCCAGATAGCACCTAGCTACAGCCTAATGGGGTCCCAGATAGCACCTAGCTACAGCCTAATAGGGTCCCAGATAGCACCTAGCTACAGCCTAATGGGGTCCCAGATAGCACCTAGCTACAGCCTAATGGGGTCCCAGATAGCACCTAGCTACAGCCTAATAGGGTCCCAGATAGCACCTAGCTACAGCCTAATGGGGTCCCAGATAGCACCTAGCTACAGCCTAATGGGGTCCCAGATAGCACCTAGCTACAGCCTAATGGGGTCCCAGATAGCACCTAGCTACAGCCTAATAGGGTCCCAGATAGCACCTAGCTACAGCCTAATGGGGTCCCAGATAGCACCTAGCTACAGCCTAATGGGGTCCCAGATAGCACCTAGCTACAGCCTAATGGGGTCCCAGATAGCACCTAGCTACAGCCTAATGGGGTCCCAGATAGCACCTAGCTACAGCCTAATAGGGTCCCAGATAGCACCTAGCTACAGCCTAATGGGGTCCCAGATAGCACCTAGCTACAGCCTAATGGGGTGAATTTAGGATCTTGAGCCCAAAAATTATTACTTGTAACAGTAAGGACTGGTATGGAGATTATAGATTATTATTTGTGTTGTATTGGCTTTTTCTGTTTTTAAACAAACATCATGATTTACAAAAACATGTATATGAATTATGTCCTTCACCTAGTGTATGATATCCTCAAATTTATCAATTTTGCAAAATGTTTAACCTCTTGGCACATCAGCAGGACCATATCCCTCTTAGTAATAAAATTGAATAACATTATTTTTGTATTTAGGATTAGAACTAAATATCTACCTTAAATAAAGCTTAAGTTCAATGGGCTAGAAATTATTACTTCTTCATCCTCCATATATGTTTAACTCGTATTTTCAAAAATGTTATGCTGTAATTATTTTGAGAGATTGTTTGTTTACATTCCTTACAATACAGAATGACTTCATTTTATGTTAATTGACAATATCAAGTTACCTGTACTTCAAAATGAATTCATTTCCTAAATAAAGTATTATTGCTGAATGATATTGACGCATGTGGTGCATATGTTCATGGAAGTTTTTTTCAAATCTGAAATACAGTAAAACCTGTCCATTCTCATCTCTGCTAGATTGGTAAAAAGTGTTTTGATTAGCAGGTGTTCACATTTCAAACCTTTTTTGAATCAATATGCAATGGAACCCAGAAAAAATTACCAAGAGAAAGTGTTCGAATTAGAGAGGTGTACAGATATACAGGCTTTACTGTATGTTGCAAAGCCTTGTTATATGTTAAATATAGTAAAGGAAACAATATGTTGAGCTGTTTACTGTATCTAAGGGCCTGCCATGCACCTGGAATACTTTGCAGATTGTATGATTGTATCAGTTTAGAAAACAAGCCACTTAAGTGCAAAAAATCTTTGTCCGTTGCCAGGAATTCTTATGAAATTCCTGTATTAGTTTGTATGTTGTATATAACAATGACACATACCATACTTAACATTATCTTTTCTTTATCCCCAGATTGAATGGTTCCTATGAGGCACTGAAAAGTGGCCTCGTGGCTGACTGCCTCACAGACCTGACAGGAGGAATTGTCGAGGGCTATGTACTCCGTGGAGAGCACGCAAGATATCCTAAAAATATCATCAATGTTATGTTCAAAGCTCTTGAACGCCAGTCTCTCATTGGATGTGGAATAAATGTAAGTAGAGTTTGATTACATTTTCCAGACCTGGGTTAAGTTTGAACTACGTTAGATTGTAATGTTAGCTATATCTTAGAATATTTTCAAACTTGACATTGGGTCTTTCACAGAAGCACTTTATATTGAACAGGAACTCTAGGTATATTGATGTCAAAACAAGTGGTATAGTATCTAGCATGTAATTGGGAGGTTGTGGGTTTGATTCCCACCAAGGTGGAGTGACTTTTTCACACCAGCCCTTAGCATGATTTTATCCTTTTTCTCAGATTAAGCAATGGCAAAAGATTTTACCTTTTCATTATAAATTGAAGGTGTCACATAATATTTGGTCATTCATCTTTTAAAGTTGATGTTACATATGTTTAAATGTATTTCAAGGCAGTCGATGGTGTGGAAGGAGAAAGCAAATTGCCAAATGGACTCGTAGGAGGCCATGCCTACAGCATCACAGATCTCAGAGAGGTATAAACTATGAAAATGTTTGTATCTATGAAAATGTGAATTTATTTTTCTAATAGAATGTAGATGATTGATCACTTATCAACTATTAGTCTATAATCAGAGATCATATTTTTGTCATTTGAACCAATCAAATTAGTAGAAATCAGTGACTGATTTATGCTCTTGACCAATCAGATTGCTTTTTTAAAGGGTTGCATGTATTCTATTCCAATGACTTCTTGGCCTCTTCAGATTCGGCTAATCTCTGACCAAGGAGAAATTCCTATAACGCTAGTGCGTGTACGTAATCCATGGGGTACCAGAATTGAATGGAACGGCCCATGGAGTGACAGGTCCCCTGAATGGAACAGCATACCCCCTCAGGACAGACAAGCCATGGGACTGGTTTTTAGGGATGATGGTGAATTCTGGTATGCATTTTCCCAAGTAGCCTACAAGGGGTTACATTTTAACTTAATTTTGCACATACTAATGAACACCTGACATGACTATATTTTCTCCTGATCTAAAAACAAGGGAGCTACCTCCTACTTAGTTTTCCTCTTACTTTAAAAAATTGCACAACTACGTGTATATTGAGAAATGGCAAGTGTAGAGTGAAGTAAGACAAGCCATAGATTGAGATAAGTTAGTGCTAGGAGTATACAGGAAGCTCTTGTTTGAATGACATCAATATAATGTTCATATTTGTTCAATTTTCTCTGTTAGCCTAAGATAGCTGTGTATTTCTCATAAATGAGGCACTTCAATAAATAAATACCTATACATATATTATAGTCATAATAGAATTAGAAACCACTATACAATCATGTCTTTAGAATACAATACACTACTTCATGAAGTGCATTAAGCAGGTCACAGTATTCTGTTTTTATTATTTGTAAATAAAGCATGCAACCATTAGAAATCCTGTTCTATGATTGCATTTCATTAAACCTATATTGTAAACAAGACTAACAATTAAATGAAAAATAATTCTTTAATAGTGTAGAAATATATATTCCAGTATACAATCACAACTATAGTATACATTTACTACAAACCTCTCCTGAACTTGTATTGTTATATCTAGAATAAACTCAAGTTTATTAAATTCCAATTAATCTTTTTATTTATCTTATACGTAACTACTCGTATGATATGATTTATTCTGAATTTGTATTTAGTTTTTGTTTAGTTTGTATAATAGTCTCTACATGTAAATTCTTGTGCATTGACACAATTATTAGCAAATCTGATGTAATGATCACTTAAAAAGATGTATAATTTAACATAAGGTTGTCGTAAATGGACCAAAACATCTCTATTTGGTGACTCCCAAAGATAACATTAATATTTTTTTGAGTTATGAAAATTTTCTTGATTGTGTAGGATCATGAGGGACATAGGAAAGATTTCATTCAGAGACATCTATGTGTTATAAATGTGTTGTTTGTTTTATTAAGGATGGACTTCAGAGACATCTATGTGTTATAAATGTGCTATTTTTTTTTTATTAAGGATGGACTTCAGAGACATCTATGTGTTATAAATGTGTTATTTGTTTTATTAAGGATGGACTTCAGAGACATCTATGTGTTATAAATGTGTTATTTTTTTTATTAAGGATGGACTTCAGAGACTTTCAAGCCAACATGGATACATTAGACATTTGTAACTTGACTCCCGATTCCCCGCTGGAGACCCCTCGGAAATGGGTGATCAACCAACATTACGATCAATGGAAGAAACGGCTCACAGCTGGAGGAAGACCTTCACAAATTGGTAAGTGCTGAACAATAGTAATCAATGAAGCCCTCTTTCTCTCGGTCCATCCAGTCAATAACTATTATACTAGATACTTTATTTGGTAGAAGTTGTTTTATGTAAAATAATTTCACTCTCTTTGTGATATTTACACATAATTCATGTTGTCTGTCTCTTTGGATATTTACATTCTTCAGACTAGTGCTGCAAACAGGAACGAAATGATTTCCTTTGAGTGTATGGTAACTTTGTAGATACTTCTTGAGTTATTTCCATGTACATTGTGCAGTTCATGTTTCATACAGTATGTGTCTACTAGGCCAAATCATATAAACTGCTCTTCTGTTGGTTAGGTTTTTTTTGGGTGTTAGGTTTTTATGATTATCCAAGTACAGTGTTTGTATTGATTACATATAAGGGCAATACATTGTATTATATTGTATTGATGTTATCTATTGGGGCAATGCATGGTATAGATGATCTCTGTATATGGTTCCTTTCAAGTATACATTTTCTTTACATCTGCACTTTCTAGTCAGAATCAAAGCAATCCCCAGGAAGACATTCAGTATAAGGAATACAGTGCCCAAGTAGATAAATGTCCATGAAGCTCCCCCTGAAAAAATGATTACTTTTGGATAATTCATATTTATACTGAGATGGTTTGGATTTGTAGTTTTCTTGTGATTTCCAAAATATTGCTTATATGGATTTTTAATTAGTTTTGATAAGTTTTCTGATTAAAATATCCTTATATTTGGAAACTAATATATAAGGGTTATGTACTGGGAGGTTTTGGATATGGGGTTTATCCAGAGCGAGATATGCATATCTACCTGAGGGACCGTAGGGACCGAAGGTAGATGTGCATATCTCACGAGGGATGAACCCCATATCCAAACCGACCGTACATAACTGCATTATCCTATACCAAGTAGAGTTTTCAGGGGCATAGTAAATCTGAATCAGTTTCCATTTATGTTTCTTTCCTAGGGTTGGCATAAATAGCATGTATAGTGACACCATTTGAAGAACATAACAAACCAAAAAAAAACATAACAAAAAAATGAAATGCTAAACAACATAAGTCCACAAGAGGATATGAATAAATAAATCAAAATGAATTTTCTTACCAGTAAGTTTCTTTATTGAAAATTTGGTATCTTGACTCTTGACCAGTATTTTTCCACTTGATATAGGATACTCTCTGACCATTCTGTCTTTGCCAATATTCTCAATGGGACTCCTGGGTATTCTCTCCCCCTTTCTGTTTGTGTCACTATGTTCAATATGAATCTCTCTACTTTCCCTGAGGTTTGAAGGTGTCTCAGAACAAACCTGAAATATCAATGGAAATGTAATACACTTTACATGTAGTGAGATATCAATTTACAGTGAAACAGTTTGGAACACCTTTCTCTGGTGAACACCTATTTCTTGTGAATATCTTTCCTAGTAAACACCTCTCTCTCTAGTAGACACCATCAATTTCTTGGAACATACTCTGTTGATCTATGTTTTAATTTTTTCAAATTTTTACACCCATCTGCAGTGAACATTTTTGTGGCTCCAAAGGAAGTGCGGGTTTTCCTTTACATGTTTAAATATTTAATTTGCTGTGGTTCACCTGATAGGACAAGAAAATTCAAAGTAAAATTAATAAAAATTAACCGACCATATTGATCATAGTCAACATATGGTGCGATATTGTTCACCCTGTGAATGAATTGAATAAAGCTATAATTGTACCTTTGGTTGTTCACAAGCTCCTGTGTTGTCCTCTGCCATACAAAGAGCCACGGTACAATGAACATAGATTGAGTTGATGTCTCCTGTAAACTCAAATGACCTAAACCCGTATTCATATCTTGACGTTGTGGATACAATAGTCTTTACAGTGTCATCGGTGAAACATCTGAAAATAGATAGACATATGTTGTGTACTGTACCATAGAACCAACCATAGTAAATGTATCCCATAACCACTGAAATTTTTATTTCATTCATAAACTTTGTTTTAGTTGCATTATACCAGCAGATACTCAAGTATAAGAAACAGTAATATCTAAAATTTGGTGAAACCACCAGTACAAAATAGCTTAGATCATTATAGGTGCTTTACCTGTTCCTAATAAGGTAATATCGGTTGAGAATGCCATCTGCGTCCTTCTTAGCACTTGGAGAAGCAAAACAGTCAACCACACCCATCTTTAGCTCATTGCCGACTACATTTGCAAGTCTTATGTCAGCGTACACCATTTGTTCCGTTGATATCTGGAAATAAATGAATTCCTCATTGTTAAATTTGGCCATTCATAAGAAATAAAATCCGATTAACCATAACAACGATATAAGCTTATGTCACTGTAAGATTGACACAAGAGACAAGATCAATAATTATATACATGTATTCAAAATGAAATTTATCAAACCTAAAAAGGACATATGTGATGTGATGATGATGGATGTACATTGATGATTAATGTATGTTGATATAATGTATGCAATATTGTATATTGTAATTATGATAATGTTGTCAGCTTGAGAGGCAGGTACATCTCACTTCACTTATCTGCCAATTTCCAGACAAACTCTTTGACAGATTGATTTGAAATTGTCAGGGATGTTTCTATGAATGCTTTTTGGCTTGTTTTTGGGCTTGCAGGGCAAATTTTAAGGCGGTCATTCTTATTAAGTACAATATTGCGGATTGTGTGCTTTGTTCAATATGAAGTTTTGATTATTATTGGTACTTATTTCAACTATAATGAATACCCCTATAATATGTTATATCGCAATCTTGCCATACTGAGGTGAAAAGGCAGATGTTCTTGCTATCACAAGTTACATTATCATTCCCTGTATAGAAGCTTATAGTCAATAACAACACACGTATAATGCTTTATTATCAAAAAGAGGAGATTTCGTAAATGAAAACACAGAATGAACCTGGGTCTGATGAGAAACTCTTATGGGAGACACACTTTATGTTAGTAACCACTTTATTGTTTAACAAACTGATAGACACAAACGATTTTTAAAATACTTCATTCATTGGTCCCATGTTTATCCACCCCTTTCAACATATTATATACTTGATGCAAGTCTAAATATTAATAGTTACCTGTTTTTCTCCAACTGGGATTGTAATATTTGCATCTTCATACATATTGAATGTGAACTGGAATGTTCCCATCGCTTCATCTTTATACATATAGGTGGCACTCCTAAAGATAAACATAGAATGATTCTCAGAATGAAATATTCTGTCTCAGAAAAAAATTCAAATTATTTCCATAATTTTATTTGGATAAAACTGATTTTGCAATTCCTTACCCAAGGCTCGATGTGATGTCAGTAGCGTCAACTTGTTCGCTGCGTTTGTACTTGCATATCACTTCTAGGGCTAACTGGTTCTTTCTTATAATAACTCCATTCTGCTGAAGGTGGGTGTCACCAACTAGTTTAGCATCAAATGTCTCATAGGTGTCGTCAGACTACAATGTAGAGGGTTCAATAGTCATCAGAATATAATGTAAAGGGTACAATTACAATAAACTGTTTTGAACAATGAAATGGGTCATAGATAATAGGGACATAAATCATGAATCAATTTGTAGATAATTTAGTTTTAAATATATTTAGAACCAACTTCAAGAATCTCAAATATAATCAATTTTAACTTCTTATAATCCAATCATGTTCCTTAAGATTTTATAGCACCTTAGGGGGCTATATTGTAATCATTTTTTTAAATATTCTGTAACATTTGACAAATTGTGTTAGAAGCAGACCAAATAGCACATACTCACTTTAAGATCAAAACATTCAGTGAGTGACAAAACCCCACTGAACTCCTTAATGCTGTTGTCATAGTAGATGACACAGTCGGGTCTACCCTCAATGTGTAGTCCTTCACTTGTGTCTACATTCTCACTCTTTATAACCCATTCATGCACTGTGATGATTATGTTGAGGTCACCTGTACATGATACATTGCCATCAGAAGGTTTAAGAAGTCTTCCAGGGTTGTTATGGACATCATCTGGTATAGCAGACTTAGCAACTCCTAAAATGATATGAAAAATGAAAATGTTATTGCTTGTTATAGATTCTCAGTCCTTATAGACATAGGTACCTGTTACACTGCTGGGTTGAGTCTAACGAAGCATTTTTGTAACGAAGGTTAGCGAAAAAATTGTGTCCACACTGGCTTTATCCAACCCTAACGAAGCAATTATTTGGTGTTACACTGCACTTAAAATGCTTCGTTGCGCGTGCGCATTACTCATCTGCCCCACCCACTTATTTATCAATATTTTTATTCTTTTGATATAAGTCAATGATCAAAATCAAAAATCTAACTTTTAATCTTTATTTTAACAATTCAGCACAGAAAATGACTAGTTCAAAATTCTCGGGAAATAAAACCAGATGAATGTGATCATTCCGTACACATGTCCATACATTTTTCCTATCATTTTGATTTTTATGTATTTCAGCTGTCAATACGATTACAAGTATTCTTTTCATTTTTCTATCATTTCTTTTTTGGAAAACATATGGAATAAAAATAGACCTATGTTAATTACTGGGAGGAATTGGATTTGAGGTTTATACAGAGGACTAGTATGTAATATCATATAAAAACGTTCAATTTCAAAATGGGCTTCTCAGTTTTATTTCAAATAGTGTAGCCATTACTAAAATATCTCGGTGTTCGGCTTGTGGTTTAATTAGTATTTCATGACCAATTCATTTTAATATGAATATTACCCGTCTCGCCAATATTCCATGCATATTTGATTGATTTGGACATAAATTAGTATGTTAATCCATCAGCCGTCTGTTAAATTCGAAAATGGCGCAAAAAGGAAGAAACTTGAATATCAGTTGTAAGCATCGTCCTAGGACACTTCAATAGTATTTGGGGCTGGCCTAAAACATGGAGCCTCTCTGTGGCAAATATCTGTCGACAAGAAACAATTTTGGCCACCGTTCCTTGTCCGCAGGTTTTACCGTATTTGTATACGGAAGTTTTGAAATGTTAATTCAAAATATTTAAACATGAAGCTTAAATTCAATTACAATTTAAAATCGTTGAAGAATAAAATAATGGAACAACTAGTACAAGTATTGCAATGGGGCGAGAGCCAGTTGAATACGATTTCTGAAAAGAGACATTTTCAAATCAATCAAATCGGCTAAATTCCCTGATGTGATTCTCCGGGAAGCAATAGTAACAGTATCATCTTTAGAATTACATTCAAGATATAATTATTCGAGGCGCAAGAAGATCTAAATATTAAACATGTATGACACAACCTTTTATTTAGTAAGCATATCTTATGTAAGTTTTCCGAAAGAGGGACGTTTAAATATTCTAGGTTTATTCGCTAATAGATCAGATAAACGTTTCAAAACTACTGTATACATATACGGTAAAACCTGCGTTTTTTAAGATTAAATACTTTTTGTCATATCAATGCGAGGAAAGGCAGGGAATCGAATGAAATGCTACGAAAGACGGGAAATTACATTTGTACGTGGTGTCTAGGGCTTGAGTTAGCGTCAAACAGCGAAGCATTTCAACTGTCCTGTGTAACAGGGGTCATAATTGACTCCTTCATTAGTTACCAAAAAGTATTTTAGAATTGAATCTTACCTTGCTTTATGGCCAGAAGACACAATACAGCAATTATCAATGACTTAATCCACAACATTTTCCTTGTGTCTTGCTGCTGCTCAGTTTTTCATTTTATGAGAACGTTCAAACTGATGATAACATATACTCAGTTTAGATGTATAATATAGGGGCTGTAGTCTTATTAATGGTGGTCATTTTCAAAATTATAATTAAAAAAGGTTGGAAGAACAGTGTATATTTACCAATGTGGTGTGATTTAAACATTAACAGCAAGCAATCTACCTGCATCTTTTTGAACTTGTTGAATTTTTTAATTATATCATTTTGTATTTTAAACACTAAAATGCATATAAATTAATTTAACCCTCATCTAGAATCCAAATTTTACTGAGGTGGACATAATTAATTGCAAAGTTTTCTGAAGTGTTTAAAAAGTATATGAGGATATAAAGTAAACTGTATTTCCCAATTTAGGTGCTCACATCACATATTAATAGACATTTTGAGGAAAAGGAAGATGTTTGATTCAGAAAATATGTCTGAAAATTTGCTTCTTCAAAATTTGTATATGTATTTTCACATTTTGGTACATTGTATGCTATTTGCTCACTCACCTACCCAGTCACGCCATTGGACCCACCCAGTCCTTTATCTCTCTGTAGTTGTGCATACCAATGGCCTTTTAATAGGTTTCATTTTGTTCTAAGCTAGTTTGCTTTTGTTGAATATTTATGGCATCACCAGCATAATATATTGTGACATAGTGTCATCATCATTAATTTTTATGACTGCCATTCAGGTTCTGTTACAAATTGTCACATTTTTGGAATTGTAACCAGGTAGTTACATCTTTTCACATCATAGTGCCTTGTTTTACAAAGTACCATTGACTTAATATGTAAATATTATCATTGTATGTTTCAGAAACACATTGGATGAATCCACAATTTAAGATGTCTCTCCGTGATGCAGATGACGATGATGATGATATCTGCACACTGGTAATTGAACTCAGTCAGAAGGACAAGAGAAGACTTAAACATAAAGGCAGCAAAAACCACTTCATAGGATTTGTTATATACAAGGTATGAACATATCTTCTCCTATTAATCTCAATTAAAGTAAATCTTGCATCTGTCTGTTTTCCCAACAAGGCATGTGTGGCTATATTTGTCATGGAGGGATACACATATGGTTTAAAGCGCTGAAAATATTTGAAAAACTTGAGCTGTCTTAAAAGCTTGAACATGTAAATGTTGTAGTTAACTGTAAGTTCCTCTTGCTCTTTAGTTCCATGTATTCCATCAACAAGTACCTAGGGAAATGCTACAAGAAAATATTATATGTTTTTCAGTGTGTTAGAGAGTTTCCAAATGTGCCAATGCCAAAGAAGTATTTCCAATATCACACTTATATAGATAAAGTAGATTACTACTCTGATAAAAGACAGCTCTCAAAAAGGTAGGTGTTAAGTGTAGAAAGACAGTACAAGAGGGGGGGGGGCAAAAATTATACATTTATTTTACTTTTAATTTATTGTTTTGATGACTGTATGACATCATGATTTCAATAACAATTTCAGTAACAATAACAATAATGCAATGAATAAATGATTGCTCAGTTAAGAGCTTGGAGGATCATGATCAATGAATGAATAGAAATGACCATAGCAGACTATCACAATTTTAGATATTGTTTCCGAGATAATGGTATCTTATAATCTGATCACCACCATTCAAGGTCAGGGAAATTACATTTATACATCACATGCATACATTCCCACACAAGAATCATACTACATGATGTACATGTATTCATATTTCATAACTCTTTTGGAAGTAATGGTTGGCCCTTAAAAGGGCCGTTGGGTTTTGATAATTGAATTGAGTTTATCTGCTAGTCTTGACCAATTGTATCCGAAGAGAGATCAGAAATGTCCCACTCATCAAAGGTTGAATCGGCGTCCAATGGGGATGAGATGGAGTCACGTTGCTCTTTGAGTTGGAAGATCTTGCCAGCTTGTTTAATAAAATACTGGTTCATGACATACTTCAGTCCCTTTAAAGTGCCGATCTTCAATATCAGATTGTAAACAAAGGCTGATTTATGGGCTGAATTGGCTCTGTTTAGTCGAATCTCCAACTGCCGTATCTGATCATTCAAGAGCAGCATTTGGTCATATGCACGTTCCAACTTTCTGTAGGCAATATGTAGTTCAGTGTCGAGGAATTTGACATCAACAGGGGTGTCAATCTGTTGTTGTAGCTCATCAAAGTCATAGAAGACATCATCATCTGCTGTATCAACCATCTTGAATATCTCAGAGTTGTCGCCTGATCAGAGTTTCAAACATGAATGATTAGAGTCTGATTCAAACTGGTATTTATACCTCTTAGGCTTGATTGCCCCTCGGGAAAGTCAGTAAGTTTTATCTTTGTCTGAAGGGATTAACTAGAAGAACAAATCATTTTGTGTGATCTATTTTTTGCTTGCACTCAAGAAGTCTGGAGTTTCTGTCTAGGAATCAACTTCAAAGATATATTTTGATTAGAGATCTGTTACTTTACCTGGGTTTAATTTATATAAGGCATTTAATGATGAATGATTGAATTATTTTATCTTGCTAATCAAGGGAAGGAAATTAGAATTAATCTCAACAATTATTTTTATTTAATTCACTGTCAATTTCTCATTGGTAACTGTTAAACACTTTGAAAGTTATGCTATGATGACTTGGATAGGCGTGGTGACTTGACTTTGTATATTTATATCCAGGCCCATGGCAGTGAGCCTCTCTCCTCCAAACCTTACCAAGAGAAATACATTTTGTGAACAGTCTTAAATACATTTTGTCAATATTTAAAATACTTTGTCAGAATTACAATTCAAACATTCAGGCAAAATTGAACAGGCTTTTTAACTTGTTCCCATTGATGAAAGTCAGCTATTGCCATGCTATCAAAACTTATGTTCTCGACTTTTCTCATGGCTTGTTTGATCGATCATCAACATTTCGATGTATGGAATAGATATTCTTAAAGCCCCCATATAAAGTTTAAACCACTTTGGCTTATATTCTAGTCTTACCGAATGTTATCAAAATGATTGTGAAACTTTTATTTTCATTTCAAAAAGTTGTTTTTGAATAACATTTTGTTTTTGAAAAATCATGAATTTATTTAAAACTAAATTTTAGAGGTCACACATATCGTTTTTAAAGCAATACTTAACTCGAATGCATAGCATTCATAATCACATGTTTTTGAAAAAAATTTAAAAATTTGGTTGATAAATAAGCGAGAAATAAATTCATCCCATCTATGCATGAAAGTTGTTCACAGAAAAATGCATTTTAAAATTAAGTTCTCATAGAAACCAATGGTACAGTACTATTGATATATGATATACCGTATTCTTATTTTCAACCTATTGAAACAACATTGGTTTATTTGTGAAGTTAAGTCATTTAAGAAAGATTGACAGAAAAAAAATTCAAATTTTTCAAAAAATGTTTGCCAGCTGAGTGACATCACGATGATGTCCCTTGGGTTGGAAAATATTTTTTAATATGCTAAAACATTAAAGTGGCATATAAGAAATGCCATTTTATTATTGAAATAGTGTGTCCTCTGTTCAATCTTTGCAATGGTGTTAAAAATATCATGTGTTTTGCACTGTATAGCGGAGAATTTGACGATTATAAAAATTTTAACTTTTATTTGAAAAATGTCGGTAAATTGGAATATTTGATACCTTTTTTCAAAAATCTCTAAAATAAATTTTAAAGTCATGATAAAGAGTAAATGAATGATAAAAATATATTTTCAAACTTTGCATGGGGCCTTTAAAGCAATATTTTTAATTTTTTGTTATGTATTTGTCTTTTTAGTTTTTGATTAGCACTCTTTGACATTTTTCAGACATTCTGGGTCTTTCATATTTAAGTGAGGTTGACTTCCATTTTACTTCATCTCTATCCTCTGTGTCAAGAGTGATAATTTTCAGTAGATGTTGATGTCCCCAAAGTATTTTATTTAAAAACGGGGTGAAACAAACAATAAATACTTATTGAAACCAAATAGGTTTGTTATCATAATTTAAAGGCAAAATTTGATGCTTGTGATATTGAATTGTACTTAACTAAATTGCACATACACAATTATAAATTTTCTTCATATTTTCTGATCAATTCTGGCAGAGCTGGAGTTTTAACATTTATTGCTTTTTGTAATTCACATTTGTGCCTAATGAAGCTTGATATGTTCGAATTAAAGAAGAAACTTTTGGAAATACTATGAAATGAGTGTGGAAATAATATCTTGGTTGTTGGCTTTGCTCCTCTTGGGAGTTGACATTGTCATGTACTTAAGCCTGAAAGGTTAGGATCAAGGAAAGTAATATTTGGTTTGTTTGATATTTAGAAAGCATGCTACAAGTAGGCCCATAGCCAGGATTTGCCAAGTGGGGTTCACTTTTTGAAAAATTCCAAGAGGGTTCCTTGACAGTTTTGGCCATAATCACTTGAAAAGTGCTCTGAATGGTGAAACACTGAATGATTTTGAAGGAATTTTTGGCCAGGGGGGCATGCTTGAATCCCCTGGCTACAGGCCTTACAAATTATACACAATTACATCTACTTGTTCCCTTTCTCAGACAATCTCACTACATGTACATGTATTTAGAAAACCATGTATTCAGTCCATGTATTATTCATAATTCATAACTCTTTTGGAAGTAATGGTTGGCCCTGAAAAGGGCCGTTGGGTTTTGTTATTTGAGTGAAGTTTGGTTGCTAGTCTTGACCAATCGTATCTGTAGAGAGTTCAGAAATGTCCCAGTCATCGAAAGTTGAATCAGCGTCTAATGGGGTTGAGATGGAATCACGTCGCTCCTTCAGTTGGTAGAACTTGCCAGCTTGCTGTGTAGCATACTTGTACATGACACACTTCAGTCCTTGTATAGTGTTGATCTTCAACCTCAGACTGTAAACAAAGGCTGATCTCCGAGTTGCATTGGCTCTCTTTAAACGAATTCCCATCTGTCGGATCTGATCATCTAAGAACAGAAGTTGATCATTGGCACGTCTTAACTTGTTGTAGGCGATGTGTAGCTCCATGTCCAGGAATTTAACATCTACAGGGGTGTCAATCTGCTGCTGTAGCTGGTCAAAGTCATAGAAGACATCATCATCTGCTGAATCAACCATCTTGAATATCTCAGAGTTGTCGCTTGATCAGAGTTTCAAACATGAATGATCTGAGTCTGATTCAAACTGGTATTTATACCTCTTAGGCTTGATTGCCCCTTGGGAAAGTCTATGATTTTTATCTTTGTCTGAAGGGATTAACTAGAAGATCAAATCATTTTGTGTGATCTATTTTTTGCTTGCACTCAAGAAGTCTGGAGATTCTGTCTAGGAATCAACATCAAAGATATATTTTGATTAGAAATCTGTTACTTTACCTGGGTTTAATTTATATAAGGCATTTAATGATGAATGATTGAATTATTTTATCTTGCTAATCAAGGGAAGGAAATTAATCTCAACAAACCTTTTTTATTTAAATCACTGTCAATTTCTCATTGGTGACTGTTAAACACCTTGAAAGATATGCAATGTTAACTTAATAAAGATGACTTGGATGGGCATGGTGACTTGACTTTGTATATTCCAGGCCCATAGCAGGGGGGTTGGGGGGGGGGGGGGGCAAGGCAAAATTGAACTGGCTTTTTAACTTGTTCCCATTGATGAAAGTCAGCTATTGCCATACTATCAAAACTTATGTTCTCGACTTTTCTCATGGCTTGTTTGATCGATCATCAACATTTCGTTGTGTGGAATAGATATTCTTAAAGCCCCCATATAAAGTTTAAACCACTTTGGCTTATATTCTAGTTGTACCGATTGTTATCAAAATGATTGTGAAACTTTTATTTTCATTTCAAAAAGTGGTTTTTGAATAACGTTTTATTTTCGAAAAATCATGAATTTATTTAAAACATGGGCTTTCAACTAGAAGGGTAGGCAACTTCCCATATTTCTTACATAAGTATTGCCTTTGGGTTTTCAAAATTGGAGAATGTACACATTCCAAGAAAATATTATTTTGTCCTTTTTGTGGATGTTTTCAAGAAATAACTCAAAAATAAAAACATGATTTTCTGCATACATGTTGATAATTTAATAAAAAATGGAAGCCTTCATTATTATGACAATACAGAAAGTGAACATTGTCCCAAAAATTATATTTTTAATTGGAATGTGTTCTTGAATAATTACCCACAATGCAATACTCAAAGAGAACATTTTGATACCTCTTATTCTTATTGGTCTTTTTGTTTACTTTTACCTGAGATTGAATATATTTTATGCTTTAATCATATTGAAAATTGATTTTTATTCGAAATAGTACTAAAACATATACATTTATCTAATACTTTTTGAAATATTACCATAAAAGGGAAGCATGGCATTGCTCATTTTGAAGGTCTCATGTTATAACACAGAGTTGCATACCCTTCTAATTAAAAGCCCATGTTTAAAACTAAATTTTAGGGGTCACACATATCATTTTAAAAGCAATACTTAACTCGAATGCATAGCATTCATAATCACATGTTTTTGAAAAAAAATTAAGAAATTTGGTTGATAAATAAGCGAGAAATAAATTCATCCCATCCATGCATGAAAGTTGAATTATACTAAACTAAACTGCACATACACAATTATAAATTTTCTTCATGTTTTCTGATCTGGCAGAGCTGGAGTTTTAACATTTATTGCTTTTTATAATATCACATTTGAGCCTAATGAAGCTTGAGATGTTCAAATTAAAGAAGAAACTTTTGGAAATACTAGGAAATGAATGTGGAAATAATATCTTGGTTGTTGGCTTTGCTCCTCTTGGGAGTTGACATTGTCATGTACTTAAGCCTAATAGGTTAGGATCAAGGAAAGTAATATTTGGTTTGTTTGATATTTAGAAAGCATGCTACAAGCAGGCCCATAGCCAGGATTTGCCAAGTGGGGTTCACTTTTTGAAAAATTCCAAGAGGGGTTCTTTTTTGACAACTTTGGTCCAAAATCACTTGAAAAGTGCTCAGAATGGTGAAAAACTGAATGATTTTGAAGGAATTGTGGCCAGGGGGGTCATGCTTGAATCCCCCAAACCCCCCTGGCTATGGGCCTGAAAAAGTATATACAATTACATCTACTTGTTCCCGTTCTATGTCAGACAATCACACTACATGTATTTAAAAAAAACATGTAACTATTCTATTCATAATTCATAACTCTTTTGGAAGTAATGGTTGGCCCTGAAAAGGGCCGTTGGGTTTTGTCATTTGAGTGAAGTTTGGTTGCTAGTCTTGACCAATCGTATCTGTAGAGAGATCAGAAATGTCCCAGTCATCGAAAGTTGAATCAGCGTCTAATGGGGTTGAGATGGAATCACGTCGCTCCTTCAGTTGGTAGAACTTGCCAGCTTGCTGTGTAGCATACTTGTACATGACACACTTCAGTCCCTGCATAGTGTTGATCTTCAACCTCAGACTGTAAACAAAGGCTGATCTCCGGGTTGAATTGGCTCTGTTTAGTCGAACTCCCATCTGTCGGATCTGATCATCTAAGAACAGAAGTTGATCATTGGCACGTCTTAACTTGTTGTAGGCGATGTGTAGCTCCATGTCCAGGAATTTAACATCTACAGGGGTGTCAATCTGCTGCTGTAGCTGGTCAAAGTCATAGAAGACATCATCATCTGCTGTATCAACCATCTTGAATATCTCAGAGTTGTCGCCTGATCAGAGTTTCAAACATGAATGATTAGAGTCTGATTCAAACTGGTATTTATACCTCTCAGGCTTGATTGCCCCTCGGGAAAGTCAGTAATTTTTGTCTTCGTCTGAAGGGATTAACTATTGGAAAAAATCATTTTGTTTGATATTTTTTACTAAATGCACTCAAGAAGTCTGGTGTCTCTGTCTTGAAAGGATTCCAGGTCATGGGAAATTCAACTTCAAAGTCGAATCAAATCAGATGTTTAACTATTGATTTTGTTATATTTTGTCTGTTTAGTCTATCTATTAAAATTGTGGATATGATGCTTTTATCTTGCTAATTTATTGCCTTTATGTGATTATCACATTAGCAATCCCAGAACATAGTTTTTTAATTCACTGTTAATTCTTCATTGGCTGCTACAGGTCTGATTTTTAGATTGTAACTGTCATACCTCTGAAAAAGAAAATAGCACAACAAAAAATAACATTATATTCAGGGGGTCATTAACAGAAACTTCGTAAAGTTACGAATTCGAAGATCAGTTGTTGTAACCATGGATATAATGACGTCACAGTTAGAGAACAATGAATTTTACCAATTCTTAACTTTACGAAGTTTCTGTTAATGGCCCCCTGAATATCTATTTTCTTGAATATTTTTATTAAATCTTCTTTTTTGTTATATAACCTGGATTTTATTGAAATATTTTTGAATATATTTATCCTGAATTAACCTTAGAAGGGGATAAGCATTCCCTGGAAACATCCCACTTTTAACAAAACTTATTTATCTTTGCTGGAAAGTATTTTAATTCAAAATTGCATTCATTTTTCAGGTTTAGTTTGCCTCCAGGAGAATATGTGGTAGTGCCATCTACATATCACCCTGATGAGGAGTCGGAGTTCATGTTGAGAATATGCTTTGAGAAAGACAACCATTCTGAGTAAGTAATGTCCTAATATGCTTTGAGAAAGACAACCATTCTGAGTAAGTAATGTCCTAATATGCTTTGAGAAAGACAACCATTCTGAGTAAGTAATGTCCTAATATGCTTTGAGAAAGACAACCATTCTGAGTAAGTAATGTCCTATTATGCTTTGAGAAAGACAACCATTCTGAGTAAGCAATGTCCTATTATGCTTTGAGAAAGACAACCATTCTGAGTGAGTTAATATCCTAATTTTTCCAAAATATGCTTTTCCAATTCGTGATGTCTAAAACATTAATCATGTTTTCTAGTAAAATCATAAGGTTTCTAGTGGCAAATCAGCATTTATATCAATAACCAATGTTATGAAGTTTTACGAAAACAATAATGATCTTCCGTTTTATTCCTCAGGCTCCCTGCAGAGACAGCTGAAGTGCCAACCACAAATCCTATTCCAAACAGAGACCCTGCCATACACACCATGGAGAACAGCTTTAAACAATTCTTCTACGACATTTCAGGAGAAGTAAGTTAGGTTTACAGGATGATTGGGATTATTAAACTGTATTTGGTACGTTCAGAGTTTATAATCATCTTGGTGTTGAAGAATTACTTTCCAAATAGAGTAAAACAGTTATTTCTTCCATATAAGGTCCTTTTTGTAAATATGTGGCACTGGAATGTTTTAGATGGGAGGCTACTGTGCAATCTCATGAAAGTAATTCCAAAATTGTGTTCTGTATTGTAAGTTTGACTATTTTCAGGATATGGAGTGTGATGTTTATGAATTCAGGAAAGTGCTCAATAATGGCTTAAGAAATGGTAAGTACTAGAGGGTTAGCAATTACAGTGTATTATAGGCTTTAGAGGATTTCAAAATGTTGTTGAATGGACCCTCTTTATGAGAAATACTCAAAAACATTAAAAGTATAGTGTGATGGTATGTAGTTTCTATACATAGTGTCTGTGTAGGAAAACATTGGACACATCAGGAAAATTCTGGAAATGTTATTTAGAAATTTTCTATATTTGTTTTAATACATACAGAAACACCATCAGTCTACAAGGAACATTTTTTGCCAGTATGGTAGGCGTCCATCATACACATATGCTGTATTCTCATTTGACAGTTACAGGTACCTTAACAGAAATATTTTATGTTTTCCAGATGAAAACCACAAAGACATTGGGTTAGATGCTTGTAAATCTATGGTGTCCCTTGTGGATGTATCCTTTAAATATAGTTAATACGTAAATGGCAGTTTCCAGAAAAGTAATATTTGCAAAGAGTTATGATTTATTTAACTGGGTATTCTTTTCTTATGTAATTTCAACATTCATTTCACTAGGACTATACTTATGGGGACAAAATTCCCCATTTATGGCCAGAATGCAGAACATAAATCCATATCAACCAATTATGAATTGGGTATAATCATTTTTCTTAACCAGTGTCTAGGTTGACCACTCAGGAAAGCTTGGATACAATGAATTTGTTTTTCTTTGGGACAGTCTCAAAATGTGGAAGGTAAGCCTATATAACCATTATAAACCTGGAAGTGAGAGCAATTGAGATACTGAAATATAATTGTCTTTCTAGAACTAAACATAGTAAAAATAAGAATATGTTGTTATGTTATGTGGGTAATTTAAAAATTGTTTAAAAAATTATCTGCCAATAGCCAAGTTAGATTCAAGTTTGAGATAAGAGGAGTTTTATATTAAGGACTGTGTAGTCTCTTGTAGTTTTAAATGCTATTTGGTCTCTCATCTTTTTGGCAATTGGGCAAACATATTTTTGGTCGATGATAGAAATACAATGAAAAATGATCTATTTTAAGATGGGTGAAAAAGGTTCTAGATTTTTGCCTTTAAATAATTAACACAATTAGTCAAAAATTGGGATAGTTCACCTATGTTTAGCTCACATGGTGAGCTTTTGCAATCACTCAGTTGTTTACCAGTTACAATTGTTTGGCAAAGGTAAAACTTTTAAATTCTAGCAAACTGGCAAAAATTGATAAAACTTAGCAAACTGGCAAAATTTAAGCAAATTTCGCTTTAGACAAAGTCATTTAGGCAAATTTGGCAAAAAAGCAAATTTGGCAGAGTATAATTTGGAAGAATATTTACAAAATTCATCATTAGGTGGCTCCAAAAGAATTTGCTGAAAATATTTGAACCCCCTTGTGTCAAATCCTGGCTATGTCACTGAGCTTAGTATTGATATTTATTTTAATTGCAGAAAACATTTTACTCGTATGATGCAGATGGAACTGGAAGTATAAACTCATTTGAACTCAGGAATGCTTTGGCAGCACATGGTGAGATCCTTGGTTAATTTGGTAGAGTAAACTTACTTTAGATGGACAGAGCTAGCAAAGCATTCACTATCAATTGAGAAAAACACGTGTTTTGTTTTGAGGACCATTATTTGACATGATCTCACTTGATTATACCAATTTTTATGTTCTTTAGACAGGAGTATATTGGCCTGTTCAATCATAATTTAGATCAGAAAATATAGATCAGGAACAATGACAAAAACAACAATAATTGCAGCTTTCTTATGTATTTGTACTTTTCCAGGCTACAAGCTCACAACGCACCTGCTGCATGCATTAATGGTCAGGTTTGAAGATGAAAGTCATCAGATCTCACTCGACAACTTCCTCATCTGCATGGCCAGACTCATCTTGCTCAGTAGTAAGTTGGCTTACTATACATTATCATGGGACTCGTTGGCCCAATTCACACTTACCTTGTTAAAAGCCATGGGTATAAGCTTATTTTAGTGTCATTAGTGTAGAACCTGTCTTGAGAAAATTTGGAATACCATTCTCCAGATTATATGTCATTGTTTCATCATCACCGCACAATCTCACCGACACCACCTCATCATAATGTACCACCTCATTTTCACAACCTCATACTCCCCACTAGGGAAAGTGGTAGTATAGTAAAAGTCCTGCAACATGGCTATTTATCTAAACCAATTACTACTATTGTTTTCTACATTACAGATTCATTCAAGAAATATGAAAATAATACAGGAAATGCAGTGTTCACTTTACAAGAGGTAGGTTTGATTTAAAATAAATAAAAATAATTGCTCATTTTGGAACAGAATAAGAGTGAAGTATCTTGTACTCTCATTATTACATTCAAATATTCAAATAACTAATAAAACACTAATGCTTTTATTGTACAGTTATTTATTTCATTCTGTTATTAGCTTATATTTTTGTAAATTGTTGTACATTTATTTCATATGATTCATTGTTAGGAGGCCCGTCAAGGGGCCTGCTATAGTTTTTATGTTACCACCAGAAGTGATGACATATTGTTGTAGTCTCCAACTTTTTTGTGGACGGCATTTGGTGTTTGACGTCTGTAACAGGTAACTCTAACAAATGGCAGGTGGTGACATTTTGCTTGTTAATGCCTTGTCAATACTTGGAGAACCCTTTAAAAAATATTAACAATATTTATTCTGTTTCATGCGGATTTTAAGTAACTGGTTTACACAGCAGAATTCTCTTCAATTCTCTTCTAAATGTTTTCCCAAAGATAAAATAAAATATAACATTACAAGATGAATTACAAACTACCAAAAAGTTTGATACGGTATCTGTTAAGTTTATTAGATCATATGAAATATTTATGGAATATAAGTTGGAATGTCTTATGTGAAGAATTACTTCATATAAGAGCTGACTAATAGAGGATAATAGGAAAACAGACACAATGGCTATCATTGTCAAAGTTTGTTTCCTGTCTTCAGCCCCAGCTTCACTCAATTGTTGAACATTCTGCCTTGATTGTCGGACAGACTGGACTAGTTTACAGTTAAGTATTGACACTGTGATCACTGGTCCTGTGTATTGGAAGATGACAGCAAAAATCTGTTAAGTTTATTAGATCATATGAAATATTTATGGAATATAAGTTGGAATGTCTTATGTGAAGAATTACTTCATATAAGAGCTGACTAATAGAGGATAATAGGAAAACAGACACAATGGCTATCATTGTCAAAGTTTGTTTCCTGTCTTCAGCCCCAGCTTCACTCAATTGTTGAACATTCTGCCTTGATTGTCGGACAGACTGGACTAGTTTACAGTTAAGTATTGACACTGTGATCACTGGTCCTGTGTATTGGAAGATGACAGCAAAAATGCCATATACATGTAACATCATTATTTTTTCTTGTTCTGGTTCACAGCAAACAACCTGTATTGTAATGTGTGATACAATGGATGATATTGTCAAAAGTGCCACCGCTACTCTCATTCGTTTGATGGTAGCAATACTTGTAGCTTCAAGTGGTTTTGCTATGTGAATATATCGATCAACTGTTACCAAGACAACCATCCATATTGACAGTGTCCAAGTGGTGTTGATAAACCAATTTGCAGCTCTGTGGTAATTGACATTCACATTGAGATTCAAGCCAAAATTAAATTCTAAATTCCCTGGCAATGCAAAGATGGTATAACATGTCAAATAAAGTAAGTCTGTGACAGCTAGTGTTTTTAGCAGAAACACACGTGTGCTTTTTGTTGTGTCTTTTGATAGAACTATCAGTGCTAAAATGTTTCCTATCAATCCAAATAAAATCAAAACTATTTGTAGTGTATTTATCACAATGTGAAGGGACCAAAAGTGTGTAACATAGTCACTGTAGTCCAGGTTGTCCAGTTGGCTTTTGTTAGCGTTGAAGCTGTTGTTCAGATCAGTAGTGTTGTAGTTCAGTAGGCTTGTATAGTTCAGATGTACATTGTTCAGACTTGCATTGCTGAAGTTTGCATTGTTCAGACTTGCATTATATTGATACATACTCACATGTAACACTCATTATAACATTCCTTTGATATGGATATATTGTATTACTTGTCCAAGTTATCATTTCTGTTCCAACTTAAAATAATGCTTTCCATCAATATGAATTTGTCCATTGAGTGTTCAAATCATCTGTTTGGTTTCACTGTTTAGTGATAATAATTTCCCAGAATAGTTTGCCTTTCATTCAGAATCGTCAATTTAATTTATTAATTCTTTTGACATTTGAAGTAGAATATTTGTTATTTTATTCTGCTGATGTTTAAAACATCACTGCATCATGCATAACTAATGTCAAACCCTAATACAAATCCATAGAGCATCCATAAGATGTGATATAATTGTCCATTTCATGGTTCGCTCTTTGAATCGGAACGTTTGCAAATATGTACTCAAAAAGGACTAAATTTGATCATGTGACCTTCTCCTCCGGAATATTTTCTCACTTTTCAATCATAGTTTTCACAACGCTAAGAAGGAATGTAATGAAAAAAATATCTGTATTATTAAGATTGATAAGAGATCAATCGTTTCTGATCATTTTTTCTGTGCTCTCATACGGGCTTATGAACGAATATATCGTTTGAAAAATAGGTGTGAAAATCCCCATTTTAAACCTATGGGGGAAAACAAGGAAATATAAATTTGTTCCCCCGCGAACTGCATCATGGGAAATATTTTGACCTTATAAGGAAAGATTTTCGCGTCTCTTTTGAAGAGGGAACAATGATCTGCTCAATTGAAGTCCCCTTTCTTAGATTTCAGCTCTTTTAGAGCTAAATATGTTCCACATATTTTCAAATACTGGTTTACTGTTTCAAATCTCTCCATTCTTTTTCCATTTTGACACGAGTGATATTTTACTTAGGGGATTCATAGAGATAAGAGAAGCAATTAGATAATGAGGAAAAGTTACTAATGAGCCATTATGTGAATATTTGTTAATTCAGTTAGAAAAGGTCTGTGTTTACCTAGTATTTAAAATGATATTCAAGAGATCTGACCTCTTGGCCCTCATTTTCAAAGTGCATTGATGTGAACATACCTAGACCTTCTTAAATAAGATGCAAATATATCTTTGCTAGATCTCCTTTGCAGGCAATTGTGGAATAGTTTGTGACTAGAGATTTAGATCTATAGTATATGACGTTTGCTCCTGTAATAATTCACTTCTTTATCTCATTCTACAATAATTTAAATCAATTGGTGATGAAGGTGTCAAAGGTCAGCCCCGTAGCCAGGGGGAGTTCGCAGGGTTCGGGCGAACCCCCCCCCCCTGGCCAAAAATTCTTTCAAAATCATGCAGTTTTCACCATTTTGAGCACTTCTCAAGTGATTTTAGCCATATTTGGGCCAAAATTCTCAATGTGAACCCCCCTGGAAAATTTTGAAAACTGAACCCCCCCCCTTGCAAATCCTGGCTACGGGCCTGAAGGTAAATGTTATACATACATACATACATATAACAATTTGGAGAATCACCATGTTATTGCCCCTGGGGACCCTCGGAATAATAATTATCTTTCTGTCCATTCACCTGCAAACTAATGTAAATGGACTAATAATCCATTTTATAGGATCCATACTGGTAACCCATACCATTGGTACTAGCTTTCATTATTGGCTAGTCTGAAGAGAGTTCGAGACTACAAATCAATATTTTTTTTTTTAATTGAAAGTCAGGATATACATTCCTCTAAGGGTTCTACATATTAGCTATTGACTAACTTTTAAGAATTTGCAACAGTTTTGAGACATAAGAGCTCAAAAACGAAAAAAGGGTTTCAAGGCCAAATTTCGACTTGCGTCAAATTGACCGAAATGTTTTTTCAATCATCTTGTACAAGTTGCCAGGAGTTCAATTATGAACTAATATTTCAGATGTGACCTTTATATTAGCTGGCCTTCTGTCAAAAATGCATACAGGGTCTCCGTAAGATTGCTTGCAATCTTGATGTCTAATTAATTATTTTTTTTAGATAAGATTATATTATATTAAGATTGTATTATAAAATGCTTTATTTTATTTTCCAGTATTTTCAAGAAGCAGTGGTGCTTTGATATTAATACAAGCATGTAATGTTGTTCAATGATACCTATGCAGTGATATTCTATACTCATGGAGTGATATCCCATATGAGTAATATGACTGATATCTCATATTTATGGAGTCCTGTCTCGTTCTGATGCAGTTATATTCCTATGTCATGGAGTAATATCCCATACTAAGGTGTATTATGACTGGTATCTCATATGATTGAGTCGTGTCTTATACTTATCTTGTGATATCCCATAGTCATGGATGGATATCTCATACTAAGGAGCGATGTGACTGATATCTGATATATATGGAGTTCTGTCTCATACCTATGGAGTGATATCCCATACTCATGGAGTGATATCCCATACTAAGGAGTAATGTGACTGATATCTTATATATATGGAGTTCTGTCTCATACCTATGGAGTGATATCCCATACTCATGGAGTGGTATTTCATACTAAGGATTTGTGTGATTGATATCTTATATTTATGGAATCCTGCCTCATACCAATGCAGTGATATCCCTTACTCATTGAGTGATATCCCATACCAAGGAGTGATATGACTGATATCTGATATATATGGAGTCCTGTCTCATACTTTTGCAGTGGTGCCCATATTTATGTAAATGACATGAAACACCTCAATAAGTGGAACACTCCAAAGTCCCAAGACCAATTTGTGGTGCATCACTCACAAAGCATCTAATAGTTGATATGCCAAACTCACACTCCACACAGCTGATAAAAGTAACTCATTCCAACTTATTCCTTGCAGTGATCCTGGGAATCATTTACAGCCAGAAAAACTGTTCCAACCATCTCAATTATAGATTTATATCGAATCCCTATGAGTGAACTGACTTTATGCAAATTCCTCAACTCAGTACTCTTGCTTCAAGTCATTGTGCCCCCTCCCCCCATTGCATGTTCTTATGACATGAGGCAAGACTATCAATTCAGCTGACTGCATTTATACATTGTTATTTTACTATGTAATAGATAACACACATCTTATTATATTAAAACTACAGCCAGAGAATCCATGTATACGTACCAGTCCAGTAGCAGATATTTCATTTAAAATTGGAGAAAAATGAAACATTTGTTGTTTCTCTGAACTCCCAATGTATGACTATGACTTGTATGAGATATGTGAGTTCATGAAAATTCAATGCATTTTACGCACACTAGTCGCTTTTTGCACAGATTGTATTATTTCATTGCACTTTTGGGTTTGGTAGTTTATACCATGCTATTAATTGATGGATATAGTAGATATCACTTGGGGGTATATTTCTCAAAACATTCCTTGCTTGTTCTCTAATAATGACATCATGTTATAAATTCTATATGGTTGCTAGTGATTTAATGGTTTTTAGTTAAGAATATTTTGAGAAATAGACCCTTGGTATAGAAATTGATTTTGTATTTTTCTATAGAAAAATGCTCTTATAAGTCAATATCGGGCAATACATAGGGATTAATTAACAGATTACATGTAAATGTTTTCTATTCATTAATTTTCCATTTGCCAACTTACTCAGGATATGAGGCACTGTAAATAGACAATCAAAATTGTACTCTTTAGTAGAACTTCTATGTACAGGGTCATAAGAAAGCAGCACAAAGATGTGAGTTCTTATAAAACATATCTTCAGAGTTAAAGAGAGTTTTATCAAAAATAGTGTGAGTGAAATACAGGGTGGTCAAAAAATGGAAACCCTTACACCAGTTTCCTCATATATTTGTCATTTTAAGACATAACTCCCTGATATTTTGCACATTTGTACATCATTCAATTTACTACCAGCCTACTTTATTTCATGACCATCAGATTGATAATCACAATGTTACAGCACTTTACAGAACATGCCCTAGTGCCCACTATTGCTCTGTCGGGCCACCTGCACTCGCCGTCCAAAATGTCCCTACCTGTAGGGATATAGCAAGGAAAAAGTGTATGAGAATGACCTCAGGACAATCACAAACCTCAAAAGTGAGATCATCCTTATCATTCAGGCCATACCTGCTGAGGAATGCATTCGGCCCATTGATAACTGTGCAGGTTTGCCTACAGCGCGATGATGGCCAAACTTGAAGCAAAATTATATAAGAATTATGAAATAAATAATTGAATTGAATTGAAAAAAAAAAAAAAAATGTTATTCAAAGTGCTTTAAAATTGTGACTATCAGTCTGATGGTCATAAAATTTGGTAGAGTGGTAGGAAATTGAATGATGTACAAATGTGTGAAATATCAGGGAGTAGTTCCTTAAGATGACAAAGATATTAGGAAAATGCAGGGTTTCCAATTTTTGACCACCCTGTACTACAAATATATGTACCAGGTTTGAACCTTCATTATTCATGTCAAAAAATGTTCAAATCAAATATTTTTTATCATGATTCAAATTATGAAACCATGATAGCATGACCCCCCTCCCCTCTCCATGGTGTGTTGTTGTTGTTGGGCAGCTTTTTGTTGTACAAGCACTTGTAAATATAACTCACTTTTGTGTTATAGCTTGTTTTTTTGTTTTTTTAAAGTTTGATGATGAACTTATTATGTGTATTATGAATGTGTAGTTTTACAACAGCATTTTGGAAATGCAATAATCAAACTAAATATTATTGATGAATAAGGAGCCATGTCACTATTTCAATTTTGTCCCAAAATGCAATTAATTACATATACAATTGTTCTCCTACTACCCTAAAAACACAATTGAACATTGTTGATAATTTTAAATGAATTTTGATAAATCGATTCATTTTTAAAATCGTTACACTGTACATGTACTAAGAAATGTAGTTAATTACCTTTATGGGTAAACATTTATTTGTTGATCCTGTCTCTTATCATATTGTAAAAAATTAATTTGCTATAATTGTAATCAAGATGGATCTCAAAATTACATCACAGATGTATTGAAAATATTATGGCACTTGGCTAGGCTTTTCTCTAGTAAGTCTGTAGGTTAGTGATATAATATATGCCTTTAAACATCAAATTCATTACAATCGAAGTTATGAGTACTGACATGGAGGCTTAGCATGTGTACCTCATCAGACAAAAGAGGCAAAGGAGGCAATAGCCTCACCGATATTTTACAAAAAAGTATTGAATCTTATCATGTTTTCCTCAATATTTCAAAATCGTGGCTCTCACAGTGTTACACAAACATACATTGTATAGCCTAGCTCAATTATATTATACAGATTTATATGGTACAGTTTACTTTGAACTGATATATATCTACTTAAAATATGTATTATCAACTTGTGTCAACCAATGAAATAGAGATTTTATTTGTTTATTGTACATATTAGAACTGTGTTTCTCAGTGGCATACTCCAATGAAATGTTTTAATGAAATAAGTATAAAGACACATATTTTAAATGTGTGAGTATTTTCTAGCTCAAGATTATATTTATATTGTGCATTGAATGTTTTCAATAAATTATAGCTTGTTTTTTAAAAAAATATCTTAATTATGTTATCTTATTTATACTGCGACCTATCAGGGGTGGGGGGTGTTTTGGGGTGAAACATATCGCCTGAAACATGAATCAGGAATTTGAAACGTCCAAGTAAATAATATACATATCCTATCCCAACCCAACATTTTGAAAAATATAGAAAATCTGAATGTTGAATTGAGTTGCTAAAATGGAGTAGGACCAAAACAGATATTTCTGTATGTCCTAGATCAAGAAAATATCTACCACGCAACCTAGACACAATATACATGTGTATTTCATACTTGAGTGGGTTTGGGGTAGATATCACCCGGGAATATATATCATATCTGAGGAGCGGGCAGGATATATTGTATATGTCCCGCTCTAGGCCAAATGCGGGCAGATATAATATATCCATCCCGCTCCCGGGAATTTTTTCAAAAGTTTAAAAAAGTTTAAAAATTCTAAAAATTTAAATTTCAGAAATTAAAAATTTTTCAAAAAGTTTAAATGTTACAATTCTATTGTATTGAACTGAAGGAATATTATGAAAATGTTAAATATAAATTGTGCTTTTACAGTATAGGCCTATCTTGTCATTTAAAAAAGGTGGTAAAGGTTATATTTACCCCAAACCCACTCAAGTATGAGATACACCAGTTATGTACGGTCGGTTTTGGATACAGTGTTTATCCCGCAGGAAATATGTGTATATCCCTCGGTCCCTGCGATCCCTCGTGAGATACACATATTTCCCTTGGGATAAACCCTGTATCCAAAACCTCCCAGTACATAACCCTTATATATTCCTTTACAATGTGGCTTAGAATAGAATCACCCTCATCAATGAGTGATTCTTGGAAAAATTAAAGTGAGCTTGAACAAGGTGTATTCATTTAATTGGGCCACCCTGTCCACAGGTGTTTTCATTATCATCTTATGTGAGGATCATACCATTACCCTTTGGAATATTAGGCTCACACTGCTGAGGTAAACCTCTAACTTAATGAACCAATCAGAGCATGCCATTTCTCATGTATGTAGCAGTGTATAATGTTCAAATTAAGTTAAATGCAATACAATCCTGCAAAGTTAGTGACTTTTAAGGGTCAAGGTCAACTACAAACAATTGGTGATCATTCCTGAGTTATCAACATTAAATAGAAAGTCATTTTCGAGAAAATGTATGGAATAAACATAATCTTTGTCATTTAAAATTGTTGGCAAATACCATTGTTGGCATTTAACATGTCTTACTATCTTTAATAATTAATCAAGTCAGTACAATAGTAAATTATCTAGAAAGTTAATATAAATAAATATTCAAGATAACAATAAGAAAATCTTTCGATCATATGATGATACCACACTAAGGTCACACTGATACTGTAAAACATCATTTTCACATTGATTATTTTTGTACAGACACAATTTATTGTTGGTATTTTGTCATGTGATACTTTGATAAATAAATAATAAAAGGCTATGATAATCCTGAAAAGATTTTGACTTTGAATCTATTTTTTTTCAGACTTTTCATGAAAAGATTGAGTAAAAGCATTGTTCCATTAATTTGATTCCATCACTCAATGTTGTCGAAGACCTTAAAATTTAGATATCGCAAAATCAAAGGTTTTACATTACTTTGAGGAAATTATCAACTGTCGTGCATTGATTTTGACACTGGACACCACTTTACAATTGAATTCTAGAAATCTCATAAATCACAATGTTTCTCAGGATTTGTATATTTAGTTGCATAATTCTGGGGGCGCTGTCAATCCCAGTTGTGTGGAAAGATTGTGGTAAGTATTAACATAGATTTAAATTTCAAAATCCATGTGCTTCTATGTTTAGGCAGATCATGCCCATACTCAAGGGGGAGGCCTTGTATTAGACGGGGTAACAAAATCTATAGCAAATAATCAAAATTCAATCTTCACTTACATTTTGAAATACACCTTGTTTATATGGTGATTAAACAGTTTTTAAAAAGGGAATTTATTAATGGACATAATTCATAAATGTCACCATTACCATTCAGAACCATCATACTTTACAATCATTCAGGCAAAGAATATCTTCCAAATCTAACTGACAATATCTCAACCATTTAACATGTTTTGTAGGATCTAAAACAGGAGGCATAAAGTCTGTGGATGTGACACCTTGTGGAGCCCAGCCCTGTGTTTTAAAACACAACAGTAATGTTACCATGAAGGTGCAGTTTGTTGCTAGTAAGTTACATGTAAACATTATACGAAGGGTGTTCAATAAGTAATAAGTATAGTAAAACCTGTCAAATTTGACAACAATTAAGAGCGGCCAAGTGTTCAGAATACAGGTGTTCACATTGCAGTTTCTTAAAAAGGGATTAGATGAGAAAGTGTTCATATTAAGAGGTGTTTGGATGACAGAGGTGATCAGATATACAAGTTTTGCTGTATATTCCTGAATAATTACTACCTTGTTAAAGCATGTATAATCAAAATTGATATGAAATGTCAATAGTTCTTCAATTTTATTAATTCAGATATGCCAAGTTGTTATAATGTGAACATTGGAATATTGATAACTCATAACCAATTTTGAATATTCCAGGGCTTATTTAGCTCACATGGTGAGCTTTTGCAATCACTCACTTGTCCGTCTGTCTGTCCGTCCGTTTTTCCAAAACTTAGGAAAAACAATGAACTAAAGACCAAGAATAGGAAAAAGAAACCAACAAAATTCTGTAAAATACTATTTGAAAACAAAGCAGTAGAAGTAATCAACATTGCAAATATCTTAAGAGATGAAGAAGTGATCAAGACAATACCTTCAAGTATCAAAAATAAGGAACCACCAGGAATTGTCTATATATACACAAAGCCAATAAGGAATAAATTGTTCAACTATAGTGAGATTACAGAAAGTATCGACGAAGGCAACAATACAGGAGAATGTGATTGTAATACATCTGAATTTAAGGATGAAGACCATGGTCACGTCATAACAGGAAATCTGAAGATTATACAAAATTCAAAATTGAGAAAGCTATTTAGTAAAGGTCCTGGCTATAGAGAAAAACGAAACATTAACTTCAGGAAAGCGAAAGACGAAATAAAGAATGGAATAGATGAATATGCAATAAGTTGGACAAAAAATGAAAAAGTTTCAAAAGTATACTTAAATGAATGGAAAAATACTGTAATGGAAAAGGTTAAACAAAAGATTGAGTTACTTCAAAATACAAAATTTAGACATATTAAAAATCCAAAGCAGACACTAAAGGACCATAATGCTATGGAAGAACTCAATCAACTCAAGGAAAAATATGCCATTGTACCTATTGATAAGGCAGCAAATAATATTGGGTTTATGTGCAAACAATACTACATAAAGAAGATTAAAGAGGAAATTGGGAGTGACACCTATCAAAGGATAGAAGATAAAGGAGAAGAAGATATAGTGGAGGAAATCAAAGAGACAATGAAAACAAAATTCAAGATTGAACCGGGAGAAGAACAAAACATTATACCAAGGATTCATCTTACAATTAAAATGCATAAACAGCCAATTAAATTTAGATATATCATTGGCTCAAAGAAAAGTTCTGTAAAACCAGCTGCCAAAAAACTGACCAAAATTCTTAAACTAGTGCAATATACTAACAAAAGATACTGTGAGAAGATTAAGGATTATACAGGTGCCAATAGGATGTGGATCAGTGACAATAACCAAAATATGTTAGATAACATTAAAAGTGTAAATTTAAGGAACGGGGCAAGAAACATAGCCTCGTATGATTTCTCTACACTATACACAAAGATTAATCTAACTGACATAAAGGAAAAACTGAAATGGGTGATAGATAAAGCCTTCAGAGGAGGAACTAACCAAAAGATAACAGTAGGTGGAGATGAAGCCAAATGGGGTGGAAAGGCGGATAATAAAAAGGCATATACCAAAGGAGAGTGCAATGATCTAGTGGATTTCATCGTGGATACAGCCTACTTTAAAGCAGGGAAATCAATTCTAAGACAGAAAATTGGAATACCGATGGGAATCGATCCGGCGCCATATATGGCAAACCTATACTTATACAGTTATGAATTTCAAGCCATTGAGAAAATGTATAGGGAAGACTACTCCAAAGTACTAAAATATGCTAAAACTACAAGATTCATCGATGATTTATGTACTATAAACAACGACGGAGAAATGGAGACTGATATGAAGAACATCTATCCTGAAGAACTAGTGTTAAACAAGGAAAATGAGAAGGATACAGAAACAACTTTTCTGGACATACAAATGAAAATAGTAAATAAACAAATCACTACAAAACTATACGACAAAAGGGAAAACTTCAATTTCCAAATAGTCTCATATCCTGATCTATCTGGAAATATTCCTAGAAACCAATCTTATGGAATATTTATATCACAAATAATAAGGATTTCAAGAATCTGCAGTCAACTGGAAGATGCAACAAACAGAGTTACCAGCCTGGGAAATAAACTACAATGTCAAGGCTACAGGAGCAACATACTAAATTCGTATACTGAGAAAGCTATAACAAGAAATAAATGGATATGTACTAAATACAATATGCAGGAGAATATCATCATGAAGGACTGGAAAATTAATGAGAGAAGAGAACATTAACAAATGAATATGAAACAGTATCTTCTCCGCAAAGAGGGTAAACTAAGATGACAAATCAGCATAAGACCAACAGTAAGGGGAAGGGGAGAGTTTTCCGGCCGGATCAAAACGTTTAACCCACCTATGCGCAGTCTCAAGTCTGTGGACCCTGAAGAAAGATAAGTAACATCGCAATCAAATCAAGACAATGAAAGAAGAAAATGAATGAAGAAACCAATGCAGCAACAACAAATGACGTCCGTCTGTACGTCCGTCCGTCCGTCTGTCCGTCCGTCTGTCTGTCCGTCCGTCTGTCCGTCAACAATAGTGGCACGTTTTAAAACCTCTGTCGATAGGATTCCTGTTTTAAGTTATTTCTGTTCAACATCAATACAGAAAACCCCCCTATGACTCCTGGTTCAAAAGCTCGCCTATTTTCAAAATGGCTGTCACTTTTGTCTCGCGAAATTCACTTTTAGCCCATTTCCTAGCTAACCTCTGTCGATAGGATTCCTGTTTTAAGTTATTTCTGTTCAACATCAATACAGAAAACCCCCCTATGACTCCTGGTTCAAAAGCTCGCCTATTTTCAAAATGGCGGTCACTTTTGTCTCGCGAAATTCACTTTTGGCCCATTTCCTAGCTTTACAAAAAATTTCAGGTGTCCTACATTGTAAAAATCCATGTCAATGTAAAGATTAGATATATGAAATAATTTTGTTACAAAAAATCAGCGAAAAATTGTATCCATTTTTTTATTTTCAGCCATTTTAGTTAACATTGATTTGTCTATCTGACTCGCGAAATCCACTTTCTGTGGCACGTTTTAAAACCTCTGTCGATAGGATTCCTGTTTTAAGTTATTTCTGTTCAACATCAATACAGAAAACTCCCCTATGACTCCTGGTTCAAAAGCTCGCCTATTTTCAATATGGCCGCCATTTTTGTCTTGCGAAATTCACTTTTGACCCATTTCCTAGCTTTACAAATAATTTCAAGTGTCCTACATTGTAAAAATCCATGTAAATTAATGTAAAGAGTAGATGTATGAAATAATTTTGTTACGAAAAATCAGCGAAAAATTATATCCATTTATTTATTTTCAGCCATTTTAGTTAACATTGATTTGTCCATCTGTCTCGCAAAATCCACTTTTGGACCATTTACCTTAAACCCTCTGTCGATAGGATTCCCATTTTAAGTTAATTTTGTTCAACATCAATACAAAAAACTCTCCCATTCAAAAGCTCGCCTATTTTCAAAATGGTTGCCATTCTTGTTTCGCGAAATTCACTTTTTGCCCATTTCCTAGCTTTACATTTTAGCTTTAATTTCAGCTGTCCTGCATTGTAAAAAGCCATGTCACTGTTAAAGGTAGTTGTATGAATTAATTTTGTTACAAAAAATCAGCAAAATATTATATCCGTTTTTTTTATTTTCAGCCATTTTAGTTAACATTGATTTGTCCATCTGTCTCGCGAAATCCTCTTTTGGACCATTTGCTCAAAACCTCTGTCGATAGGATTCCAGTTTCAAGTTATTTTTGTTCAACATCAATACAAAAAACTCCCTTATGACTCCTGGTTCAAAAGCTTGCCTGATTTCAAAATGGTCAAAATGGTCATGGTACTAATTTTTTATTATATACAGACAAGACATGGGAATTCTGTTAGAAAGCTCATGGTTAAATACAATTTTACCAACCTTTTTATTCCAGATGCCATGAGCAAAACCTTGACAAGTGTGGTACATGGTATAATTGCGGGGGTTCCAGTGCCGTTCCCTATTCCCAATCCAGATGGATGTAAATCTAATGTGACGTGCCCAGTGAAGTCGGGAGATATGAACACCTATTCTAATGTCCTATTTGTCAACCCATCTTACCCAAAGGTTGGTATAAGGTTTTGTCAAACTTGATGCAATATACCAAGTGTATGAAAAGCTGTGCCCATCCCCATGACTGCATGAAGTCATTATCTTTGAAAGATTAAGAAAGCAGTCAAATGCTCAATATTTACACTACTGAATTTAAACAGAAGAACAAATTAATATTTGTATTCAACAGTTTGAATTATAACATGACGTTCCCCATGTAGTTTTCCCCTGAGGAATTGCATCAAATAGCCGCATAGCATTATACATACACTATGTACAATAACTGCCATATTTTTATAGTCAGTACATATTCATATCACTCTCCATCAACAAATACTATGTACATGTAGTATTATATTGTAGAGTAAAACTTATTATATTGTTTGTCCAGATAATTGAGTTGAACTTATTGTATTGTTTGTACAAGGTACATGTAAATTGTAAAGTTAATTAAACTAAAATATTATTCACATTCAAGATATTGTTACATTTGACAAAAAGTACATTGAGGAACACATGTTCATTTATAAATTGTTTCAAGTTATTTCATTTCATTTCAGTTGAAACTTGTTGTGAAATGGGAACTAAAGGATGACAGTACTAATGACATGTTCTGCTTTGTTATTCCTGTTTCTATTGGCGACTAAACAACATTGGTAACTAAGCAACTTTGGTGACTAAACAACCTTGGTGATTGAACAACATGGGTGACTAAACAACATTGGTGACTAAATAAAAATTGGTGACTAAACAACACTGATGACTAAACAAATTTGGAGACTAAACAAAATTGGAGCAGTGACTTAACAACATTGGTGACTAAACAACATTGGTGACTAAACAACAATGATAGCTAAATGAATTTGCTCAGTAACTAAATTAATAAATATTGATGACTTAAAACTACATTAATGACTTATTAGGGAAATAATTGATAACAAAGTGAGATTGATGACTATATCAGAATTTCACATTCACAACATAATTTGATGAAATTAACTTAAATGTGTGTACATTTGAATATGGGCACATTTGACTCTGAAGGTACAAAACAATTTTATTCAAAGCAACAAAACTCTGCTCTAATTTCAAGGCATAATCACTCCAAATTGTGACATTTGGAGTTTAATATGGAGTAATAAAAAGAAATGTGTAAAAATAAAAAAGTAAACTTTTGTTTCTTATATTGTTATACTTCCTGCAATTAGTGTAGTATTAAATATCAACAATAGAGCTTCATTTCAAACATTGTCTGAGGATCACACTTACACACTGTAAAACTTTGCATTTTATGTGCATTTGAATAATTACAGAAAGAATTTAGAAATATGACATTAATTTTGTGCACTCCCTCCATTATCAATCTCAACCACAGGTTCACCATCACTTGTCTCTGCACCACTATCACCATCACTGACTTCCTTCTCCTTATCAATTGACTCATCTTTGCTTTGTTCATCCTTGGGGATGCTCTCTGAGCGTTTGAATCTACTAATTATCCTAGGAGTCACAGAGTATGTAAAAGCTGCCCACATGGCATCTCCTGAATCTTTACGTATAATGTCATCTTTAACAACATCATTGAGAACAGCTTTGGCAAAATCAGATGCTTTGTTTTTCACTTTGTCTGAACTGAGTACTTCAACTATGAAATCCTTAGTTTGCGATTTCACTTCCTCATCTGCTAAAATTCCTTTGAGTATTGCAAGTAATGTTATCCTTGTGTTATCATCTTTTAAAAGTAAGTTAATATTAAGGACTAGATTTTGTCGGAATACATCATCATTTAGTGACTGAGATACAACTTGAATTAATAGTCGTACAAAGTTCTGTTTTGTCTTTGGGTCATTTAACGCATGAAGGAGTAAGTCAATAAGACCTTCTTGGGTATCTGAACGACTGAATATATCACGTAAGAAGTTCACTGAAAAAAGAAAAAATGTATAAATTTTAATTATTTATGTACATGTACTGACAAACTTATCTTTTAATCAGTAGGTGTGCATTTTATTTTATAAGGGAGATTTCAATGAACAATAAGGGTGCAAAATACAGAACAGATTTCAACTTGTATACTTCATTCAATAAAACTGGCTGAGAACAAATCATAGTAAACATTGCATGTCTAAAATGAACACTGCTATGAGTTTGACTTACAATAATGTTTGCATGAAAAAAAAGTGTTCACTTTGAGCAGTGTCCATTTTATTTAAGAGGTGTCCCCATATATAGGTTTTACTGCATGTATAGATGTACCTGATTGTGTTTTTATTGGAGGGTCTGTTAGAACAGCATGTAGGAGAGCTTTGGCTAGATCTTCAGCCTTTTGTATAACTGCCTCATGTTCCAGTGATTTACTAGCAACATTGGACACCTCATCAGCTGCAGCACCTCGGATATGATCTCTGAATATGTAGATGCCAAAACCTACAATGTGGAAGCATAAGTTGTGGTAAATAATTTAGGAAATAATAGAGTCTCGTGTAAAAGTTACTTAAAAGTATAATATAAATAAGCCTGGCTTGTATCAACCAAAATTTACCATCCCTGGCAAAACGAAATGAGTCACATGTCCCACTTCTGTGAGACAGGTTTTACTGTACATAAATACCTGTAAAATAGCAAAATGACCAGTATTGACTTAAAAGAGTGCATTAATATTCCTAAAATGTAATCGAGTAAATAAAAACATATGAGTACACACATAGGGCAGCTAGATCATAACATTTCAATTTCTTCTACTTTTTGTGATGATTCTCACCATTTTGGGAAAATGCACTCTTTGGCAAAATTGAAAGATATCTCCAATTAGGAAGTCAGTTTAATTTGTCTTTACACAGAGGTGTATCCCCATTTTTCTATATTTCTCAAGCCTCACTTGACGACCTATTTTGCACTTACCTGCAGAAAAAATGACCCCAATTCCAATTCTAAGAGTGGAGTATCCATAGACTCTCATGGAATCTTCAATTTGTCGTAGTTTGGTCATGACACTCGGATGTGCCCCTTCTTGACTCATACAGCGATGCTGAATCCTGAGACCTTTTTTGATAAAGTGTTCTCTGAATATTGTCAAACAATTCTGTCTGTGGTAGACACATCTTGAAAACCCTGTGAATGCTCTGATAGCAGCTCCTGGTACCAAGTGACTAAACATTGTTTATAAAGATAGCCTACATACATAAAAGCCTTCCGTCTATCAATCTGATGGAATGACACACAAAGGATTACTGCGTTTGACTGAAACAGAAAACAAAGCAACATGACATATATTTTCTCTTGTGTTTTCTTCATGGTTTCTTAGAAAGATAAGAGGGAAGGCGCTTGACAAAACCTATCTGGCCCAGTTATCTACTCCGTATCCCCAGATCTACGACACTACAGATTCAGGGAGAAGATAACTAGGCCAGAAAGGTTTGGTTAGAAGGGCTGGGGGTATCGGGGATACATAGATCCAAAGGTGCAGAGCATGTGAATGATGAAACTTAAATCATGGACCTCTGACCTGGCCAGACAGTGACATATCAGAGACAGGGCTCTCACCAGAAAATATCTAAGGTGTGGTGGAAACATCTTCAGCATAACCTTTCAATAGTGGTAAATCACATTTGTGTTTAACCAAACCCGTCTGGCCCAGCTATCTACTCCTGACATTGTAGATCTACGACATTTAAGAATCGGGGAGTAGATAACTGGGCCAGACGAGTTTGGTTAATTTGTGTTATACATGTACATCGTCCTTTTTACATGCTATTATCATGTATTCAGTTAAGTTATTTGTCTCCAAATGTTCAAAACAGCAAATCCACCAAAATAAGTAGCACCAAATTAAGTAGAGTATGTTAGTAAGGGGTGCACCCCAGTTGTCCGAAACCCAGTTGTCCGAAACCCAGTTGTCCGAAACCCAGTTCTCCGAAACCCAGTTCTCCGAAACCCACTTGTCCAAAACCCATAACTCCGAAAAATATAGTCATAATTTACCAGAGAAAGGGGGACGTACTTAAGCTTAGGCCAGTTCCATGCCATGTATTTGGCCAAATTAATGGCATGGACGCATTCTGATGTTCATAGATCTCTTTCTCTCTCACTTTGAATTGCATCCATTGCACGCGTTACCAGAATGGCAGGAACGGGGGATTTATTTTATATTGTGATTCTTAAAAAGGTTATCAAAACACATTTATATATTACGGAACAGTTTATCTTATCTTCTTCAATCTCTTTTATATAGGCAAAATAAAATGAATCATTTTGAAACAGATAAAATAAGTTTACGCATATAGTACTTTAAGAATAAAACAGTATACATATTACGTTGTCAAAATATTTCGTCGCATTTAATTTCTTAGTCTCTGTATTTTATCAAATCGTAAAAGAACAAAACATTCTTAACTTAATTACTTGGGATCAACTGGAAACGAAGGCAGGCTGTCCTCGTATCAAAATGGATGTTCTCCCATTCGCAAGAAGTTTCATTTTCGCCATGTACTCACTTCATCCTTTTAATTTAATCTCTATTTCTCGAACAGAGTACGTAAGTGAAGAATAAGTTTTGGTTTCAAAAGATGTACATGTCAACTTTACTAAATAAATGCCCACTGGCTTGGGAAAGCTATTTTTCCTTTTTGAACGCCCATCACCCATTTGAAAAATGTTGTTCCCTCTCAAAAAAGGCCCAAGGGCCATAAAGAAAATTGGTTTAAAAATTGTAGACCCCTGTGTATGTTGTGTAAACGCCATTTTACAATGAGAATAACATAATTTAACTTTGTTTGTTTGAACATCTATATCACCTGAATATGAATTATTTTCGTAGGCTAAACATTAAACAATTAACGTCTTGACTTAGCATATTTAGCCTAATTTTGCAATGATGTCAACGTTATTTCAATGTTATGCTGTGATTCGCAGAGGTTGCGACAACGAGATTCGTTTAAAAAAAATTGTATTTTTCAAATAAGATCCCCCTAATTTTCGGAGAACTGGGTTTCGGACAACTGGGATTCGGAAAACTGGGTTTCGGACAACTGGGTTGACCCCGTTAGTAAGTGGCCTTGCAATATAGTATAGCATTGTCACGGTCATATCAGGCTTTAACATTACCACGGTCATGACAGGCTATGCAATATAGTATAGCATTGTCACGGTTATACCAAGGCTATCACGATAACACTACCGCGGTCATGGCAGGAACCTTGCGAAACTTAAAAACACTTAATAATATGGTGACGGTTGTGCCAGGCATAAGTCTTGCAACAGATAGGGTCTCACTCACACTTGGTACCAAATCTTTTGGGTTTGGCTGTAGAGGGAGGGGGAGGGGCTTACTTGAGACCATGTAATTGTCAAAAAATATAAGATTATTGACTGAAAATCTTTGGCTTCAAGATGCCAATCAATCCTAACAGTCAATGGCCTGAAAAAAATTAGCCAAATGATGAAATTGAATGAAATTAGTTATAGTTATAGTTTTCACTGCTTAGGTCGTCTTGACCTTTGGCCGTTCTAAGATAAAAATGAGCATAATCGTTTAGCATTGACCCCAATTAATTGACTTGTGTCTACTTCAAGGCTCTATAGTTGTATTTGGCTGGGTGGTCACTCCATAGTCTGTCAAGCTTACTCTTAAAGTGATGCAGGTCATCAGCTTCCACTACTTCTTGGGGGAGGGAATTCCAAGCGTTTACTACCCTTTGAGTAAAGAATCCTTGTCTTAAAATCAATCTGCTTTGTTTTTTCGAGATTCTCTTATTGTTGCCTCTGGTCCTTCCTATGTTGTGTGATGGAGGTAGTATATTGCTAATTGGAATGTCATATTTTTCATTGAGGGCATTGAGGATTTTCCAAGTTTCAAGCATATCCCCTCTTAAGGTTCAGCTGGAAAGTAACATTTTGGTAAAAAATTGCTATACCTGCTCATGTTATTTTCTGGTACAAAATTAAGTATGAAGGCATGTGTGTATTTCCTTGCTTTTTTCAGGAAAGCATCATTACACTGTCTACTTTTAGTAAACCTAGAAACAGGTCAATGGTAGCTCCTGTGTTGTCTGGAAACTTTGAAAGAAAATTTGGAAAAACAGGAAGTGTGAAATATCAGAATTCCCTGGAGTTCCCTTTGAATGCCTACCAGATATTCTAAAAGAAGACAATGTAATGATACTTTCCTGAAAAAAGCAAGGAAATTGATACATGCCTTCATACTTTATTTTGTACCAGAAAATAACATGTGCAGGTATAGCAATTTTTCACATGCTATCTATTGCAAGACTTACGCCTGCCACAACCGTCACCATGTTAATCAGTGATTTTTAAGTAGCGCAAGGATCCTGCCATGACCGTGGTAGTGTTATCGTGTAAGCCTGGTATAACCGTGACAGGCTGGTATAACCGTGACAATGCTGTATTCTATTGCAAGGCCTGTCATGACCCTGGAAGTGTTATCGTGGAAGCCTGGCGCGACCGTAGCCTTTATTGTGGTTTATAAGCGAATGTGAATATTAATGTATAGTAGTAATTTTGATTTTGACATGATTAAGGTAGTTAAACACCATGATCATAGTATTAGACTGTTTAATTGTAATGAGGATCACTTAAAATTGTTAAGGATATTCCTGGCATTAATGTCATACATATTTACTAGTCATTGCAATACATTATAACGGTCATAGTAGAACTAAGCCTAAATCTCTATATTACCACCCTCATACCTGGCCTTGCAATACTATATTACATTGTCACGGTCATACCAGGCTTTGCGATCCCATAATACATTGTCATGGTCATGCCAGGTTTTCAAATACACATTGTCACGGTCAATTATAGCAATCATAAATTTCTACATCACCACTCTCATACCCGAACTTGGAATACTATATCACATTGCCATGGCGGTCATACCAAGCCTTGCAATACTATATTACATTGCCATGGTCATACCAGGCTTTGCGATCCCATAATACATTGTCATGGTCATGCCAGGTTTTCAAATACACATTGTCACGGTCAATTATAGCAATCATAAATTTCTACATCACCACTCTCATACCCGAACTTGGAATACTATATCACATTGCCATGGTGGTCATACCAAGCCTTGCAATACTATATTACATTGCCATGGTCATACCAGGCTTTGCGATCCCATAATACATTGTCATGGTCATGCCAGGTTTTCAAATACACATTGTCACGGTCAATTATAGCAATCATAAATTTCTACATCACCACTCTCATACCCGAACTTGGAATACTATATCACATTGCCATGGCGGTCATACCAAGCCTTGCAATACTATATTACATTGCCATGGTCATGCCAGGCTTTGCAATACATATTGTCACGGTTATAGCAGTCCTAATCGTAAATTTCTACATTACCACTCTCATACCTGAACTTGCAATACTATATTACATTGTCACGGTCATGCCAGGCTTTGCAGTACTATATTACATTGTTACGGTCATACCAAGCCTTGCAGAACTATATTACATTGTCACGGTCATGGCAGGCATTGCAATATAATACAGCATTGTCGCGGTTATACCAGGCTTTCACGATAACATTACCACGGTCATGGCAGGATCCTTGCGCTACTTAAAAAACACTGAATAACATAGTGACGGTTACGCCAGGCGTTAGTCTTGCAACAGATAGGGTCTCCAATTTTTTACCAAAATGTTACTTTCCAGCTGTACCTTAAGCGCCTGAACACAAGTGATGGTAACTTTAGGTCCATAAGTCTTTGGGAGTACTCTTTTTCTTGGAATCCTGGTATGCATCTAGTTGCTCTCCTCTGGACTGCTTCAATACATGTAGCTTCAATATCCTGTATTAGTATGGTCATGGTATGGTGACCATACAGTGTTTGCATATTCCAAGTGTGGTCTGACCATAGCCTTATATAACATCATCATATTTGAAGGATCCAAAACTGGAAAGTTCTTCGGATAAGACCAAGAATTTGGTTGGCCTTTTTTACCACCATCTGTATGTGTGTTTTGTTCTTTATTGAAAATTGAAAATGAAATCAAATATTTGTTTCAAGACATATGTCATCAATTCGCACAAGTACACTCTCAAAAATAAGACAAAAAATTATTCTGCATATAATTAACTTTTCACCATTACGTCTAAATCAGATATTAGTAGAGCAAATTGTAATTATTCACTAAATTAGTAATTATTTCACTCACTTCCTACTTTTAAACTTTCCGCCATTTTTAAACAAAAAACGCCACATACTAATTTTACGCTCGTCATTTATTTACTTATTTATCAAGCATTTACACATCAATATATACTCAAAAATGCACAATACACAATAAATATAGAGATTATAGCAAAATAATAGACTTTAAAACAGAAAATACTTGCATTACATACTCACAAAATATTCAATATGTGGTGCCTCGTGGATTTGAAATTCACTTCTGATGCTGAGCAACATGGAGATTTCCGGAAATCAAAATTCTGAAGTTTCAGCGCCGACAGGGGCGTCAGATGGCCCCGATATTACTCAATCAAATAAAGAAGAGGCGGACACATTAAAGGAGAAAGCAAATGAGTACTTTAAGGGTATGTATTCATCCAACCGTAAACACTAATCTCACTTCTTTTCAGAGCTTTGAAAATCGTCGAAATTAAAAAAACAATTGGATTTTTTTTCAAATTATCTTACATCTACGTTTTCTCCTCATGCCTCAAATTTTCATTGTTATCATCAGATTCTGAGCTAGTAGGTCCTGAAAGTAGCCCTTTAATTCGTAATTTGTACGCCACTCGCGATGAGGATACCATGACTGAAGGCTCTAACAGTGCACCAAAGCCGCTGTGTTGCATAGTTTTTAGGCCTCAGTCGGTATGTTCGTTTCGAAATCTCTTTGGTTTGGTTTTGTAACGGATTGTGAATTAAGAAAAAGATTATCATTCACAAAAATATTGTTGTTCACAAAAGTGAAGTGAAATGTAATGCTGTCTAAAGGTTACCTTCTTCTAAGGCCACTGTATCGTGGCCTTCCAGTAAAGATATATTCCTGCATGAACAACTGGTCATGTCGTAACTCGTAATCATAAAATTTGAAATCATATGTCCGCCATTTTTCCACATCACAATTTGAATTGCGAGTTTTGGTCTTATTACCTCACCCAAAATTCCAAAACACACATAAAGTGATCAGTGTATTAATTCACATCTTCTGGATCGCTAACTTAGAATTTACAGCCAGTTACTAATGTCAGACGTTAACGACATTTCGTCCAGTTTTCGAACATCGCCATTTTTGAGCCATTTTGTTTTAATTTTAGACGAAATCCTGATGAAATCATGTCATATCTCATCAAGGAGCCGAGCTGGGTCCGTTTTGATTAATGATTTATGGCGATTTTTAAAATATTCAAAAAATTTATGTCACCACGGCCAGCTTTTTCCAAATGGAGTTCACAGTATTCCAGATGAAATCCCCTCTAGCCAAGTATTGGCTAGAGACTCGAGTAATCTAAAGGTACGCATGAAATGAGAAATTATGAAACCATTAGAGCCCTAGAGAATGCACCATCTGTCCGAAACCCACTCATCATCCAAATCCCATTGGTCCGAACACAGTTAACGGCCAGATGGTTTTGAGTTAGGTGTCAAAAAGTCAATAGTGTAATTTGAAAATGTATTTCCCATGATGTATTTCAGCCTAATATGTACATAAACTACATTATACCATACCAGGTACATGTAGCTCAAACTCAAAAATATTTTCAGGATTATATATATGGGTCACATTCTGAGAAATGTGCTGTCACTCTAGATATCATATTGCAAAGTTTCTTTTCAGACAAAGACTTCAACCAAGCAATTACATTCTATACTTTGGCTATTGAAACCAACCCCACAATTGCTGCCTACTATGGCAACAGAAGTTTTGCCTACCTCAAAACAGAATGCTATGGATATGCACTTACTGACGCTAACAAAGCTTTGGAACTGGATAGAACATACCTCAAGGTGAGACAAAAAGAGAAACTATTCTCATTTAAACATAACATGTTTTCAGAAGAGTATCATTTGTAAATATTAATGGTGGTAGATTAATAGATGCTTTACTGCCATTTTGTATACATGTATTTTAAGTGGAATGTTGGAAATGACAGGATATAAAGTACAATATAATATATGAATATCAGAATATGTTTCACAGTAAAATGTGTCTCGATGGTCATTGATGAGGTCAGTTAAGGTTTTGATACAAAAGGTAGAATCATATGTACTATAGATCTTGTCTCATGCTAATCATAATCATAATATTCTTAATTGCTTTATTTTACAGGCATATTACAGAAGGGCTTCCGCTAATATGGCTTTGGGAAAATTCAAACTTGCACTCAAGGATTTTGAAGCAGTAAGTATATTGTTCAAGTTCAACTATCCTAGTATATAGTCATACTATTATGATCAATACATAGATATGACTAAGGCAGTTCATATTATATACATGCGCATGGCCAGTCAACTAAATCTGTGGAAATGAGGACAAATTGTAGAAGTGTATCTCATTTGCCTCATCAATATTGATTTTGCCTCACCTAATGTTCCGCCCTGCTTATGGTTTTCATGGCGGATATCGGATCCTCACCTTTCCTGCAACAGGATACAGGAATCGGAAGAATTTTTTCTAGAGATTTTGCAAATAAGTTCATTGAAATGTTTGTTCTACTTATAGGTTTCAAAAGCGAAGCCCAATGATAAAGATGCTAAAAAGAAATATGATGAATGTAACAAGATTGTAAAGCGGTTAGCCTTTGAGAAAGCAATATCAGTTGAAGACAACAAGTCAAGTATAGCAGACTCAATCAATCTAGAATCAATGAGTAAGAGAAGTATAATATTATATGTCAATACATGTATATACATTTATATTATGTTGTAAATTGAGTTTTTTATAGATCTATAAACAAGTACTGTAAAACTAGAAATTTTCTGATGATTAAAATTCATGATTTTGCCAGTGTTTTGCAATTTTCAAAAAATGTAAGATCTAAACAATTAAAATATTGAAATGATGAAAGAGATGTTATTTTTTCAGCCATAGATGACAGTTACCAGGGGCCAAAAATAGAAAATGGCAAAATCACCATGCAGTTTATGAAGGACCTCTTAGAACATTATAAAAATCAAAAAAATCTAGACAAACGATATGCTTATCAGGTAAGAATATGTGATAAAAAGAATTTTAAACTTGCTAAATATTTGAAACATACAGTTGTTATCTCTGTAAAGAAAAAATGTTGTTTTTTTCTTTCTGAAAAGATCGGTGAGCCAGTGATAATCCATATCCAATGTTATATGTCCTTATCCAAAATTATGTAAGCTGAATGCATTTAATTTTCAGATTCTATTAGATGTAAAGAAATTATTCCAAGAACAACCAACTTTAGTAGATATTTCAATTCCAAAGGTAAGTGCAATGCAATTTTAGAGGCAAAAATTAGCTCAATTTGCTGTATTTTATGTTAGCTTACACTTACAAATACAAAAAATATACACTGTTCAGAAAGTGAAACAAAGTATACATTGTTGTTACCATTCTCTATGACTGAAATGTATGATATTTATAAAATCTCCTTAATGTATTTATAAAACTGCTTCACTCTTGATTATAGGACAAGAAATTCACAGTATGTGGAGATATCCACGGACAGTTCTACGATCTGCTCAACATATTTGAACTGAATGGTCTCCCATCAGAAGACAATCCATATGTATCCTTTACAAGAAATATGTTTTTAAGGTGGACATAGTGCAACTTTTTGCACTTGACCTACCTTAATTGATAAATGTGTAAATATTTATATAATTTAAACCATCAAATAAATCAGTTAAAGGAGCTATAAAAGGGGAGTTGATGAAGTGAATGTTTATTACATGGAAAGGCTGGAAAGAAATATTTTGCCATTGGTGTTACAGATGCCGGCATGATCATTTGTGTAGTAGTATCAGTAGCTCAAGGATAATACCTTGTCACAAAAAGGTTTATTCATTGAGCCAAGCCTACTTCCATAAATACGATCTGGCTGGCATCTGTAATAATGCGGTTGTAATTTCACACAATTCATTATAATCTTGCCCCATGCATCACATCTTACGTCATTTTATACAATCAGGCTTTAATAATATTGAATCTAATTGGGTGTCTAGTTGACATGTTCCTTAACAGAGTTCAGTTATTTAATGGTGATTTCGTAGACAGGGGGTCCTTCTCGGTGGAGTGTATTTTCACTCTCTTCGGTTTCAAACTGCTTTTCCCTAAACACTTTTACATGTCCAGAGGTAAGTGAAACTGTTTATCACAGAGAATTACAGTTTAAGTTATTTTTTCATTTGTTGACTTCGATGGTTAGATTTTCCCATCATGAGTCCAGGTTTTGTGACTCTCAGTGACGTATTTAATTAGGACCTGGATTCAGCCAGTCATATTACAGTATTCCTTATTGTAAGTAATTGTGTGAGTTCTACAAATTAACCTGGTGACCTAGATTTGACCAATCATATTATTCCTTATTTTAGGTAATCATGCGAGTTCAACAATGAACCAAATGTATGGCTTTGATGGTCAGGTGACCTGGATTTGACCAATCATGTTATTCCTTATTGCAGGTAATCATGAGAGTTCTATAATGAACCAAATGTATGGCTTTGATGGTCAGGTGACATGGATTTGACCAATCATGTTATTCCTTCTTGCAGGTAATCATGAGAGTTCTACAATGAACCAAATGTATGGCTTTGATGGTCAGGTGACCTGCATTTGACCAATCATACTACTTCTTATTACAGGTAATCATGAGAGTTCTACAATGAACCAAATGTATGACTTTGATGGTCAGGTGACCTGGATTTGACCAATCATGTTATTTCTTATTGCAGGTAATCATGAGAGTTCTACAATGAACCAAATGTATGGCTTTGATGGTGAGGTGAAGTCAAAGTACAATGCTCAGATGGCAGATCTCTTCACAGAAGTCTATAATTGGCTACCCTTGTGTCACTGTATAGAAAAGAAGGTTCTGGTAAGTGTAAACAATCTATATGTATATGTATTTGGAGCATTTTCTGCAATTACAGTGAAACCTGTATTTCTGAACACCTCTCTTATCCGAACACTTCTCAATGTAAACACTTTTTCTCAGTTCCAATTTTTTATCTACCATTGACTGAAATATTAAAGCCTTGAAATATGAACACCTGCTAACACTTTTGACTGGCTCCACTGGGGTTCCGATAAGACAAGTTTTACTGTGCTAGAGTTTTTCTTGAAACTTAACTTGAAACAACATATATACAGGCTATATCTGTTTTTACCTGAACAAAAGCTTTGTATAAAGATTTCTTGATTGTGTAACAGGTAAAGTATTCATTGTAACCATGTCTTATTGTAGGTCATGCATGGTGGCTTATTCGCAAAGGATGATGTGACTCTATATGATATCAGGAAAATGTATTTATTGTAACCATGTCTTATTGTAGGTCATGCATGGTGGCTTATTCGCAAAGGATGATGTGACTCTAGATGATATCAGGAAAGAAGAAAGAAACAGACAACCGCCAGATTCAGGTATTTAAGAAATTTCATTTGATTTTTGTATTTCTGTATTTTCTTTCAAAATCTTGTCTTACTCGTATCTCACTGAATTCTGTCACTGTGTGGTTAATAAGTCCCTGTAAAGTGAACTATATAGTACCTCTGCTTCAACAACTAGGGGGTTGGCATATATTATGACTGTCCTTTGATTATATATCTTTGAAACTTATATCTGAGACTTTTTTAATACACCTAAGTAACCAGAAGCCTTCAGATTTGATGATTTTTTTCAAATCATCAAACATAGATAAGCTTTTACATCTAGTTGCCAAACGTATGGAGGTGTGTGTTAGTTCTTAGTTTATATTACTTTTCCCCTGTTTCAGGTATAATGTGTGATTTATTATGGTCCGACCCACAGCCTCAGTGTGGGAGATCTCCCTCAAAGCGTGGTGTCGGCGTACAGTTTGGACCAGATATCACCAAAAAGTTCTTACAACATAATCAGCTTGATTATATCATACGTAGCCATGAAGTGAAACAAGACGGGTATGAAGTGATGCATGATGGGAAATGTATTACTGTGTTTTCTGCGCCAAACTACTGGTAAGTTTTATAATAATAGTTGATGCTATATCTGATTTTCCCAATACACTAACTTCAATTTTGCTTCTATTAGTTGGTTCACATTCGATAGATCCTTTCAATAAATCCAAACCCCTTTTAGGGAACCAATGAAATTAAGGTATATAGGCCAGATTTGTTTATATCATGAGAAGAGCCTTCTTGCCCTCAAAGGAGGGAGCCACAGTGGGACTTCATATTTCCCTCTCTATTTCAGTGACACTATGGGAAACCAAGGTGCCTTCATAACACTCAAGGGAGGAGATCTCACTCCAAAATTCACATCATACAGAGCTGTTGTAAGTAGCAATTCTCTTCATATTCATGTTTTCAACACATCATATGAGTCTTGGGTTAGTTAAGGAAACATAAAATGTTGATGATGGTCAATTTATTTTTAGTCTTTCATGTGTAAAAATTGAAATTAAGCTGAAATACTTCGAGAATGTCTCTTTCTGTATATATCTTGAGTTATTGAAAATGAATTCATTCTTCTCTATTTATGGCTCATATGTTGATCCTTTTACTTTCAGCCACATCCAAAGGTGAAACCCATGGCTTATGCTAACTCATGGATGTCCATGTTAGGTGTATGATGACACTCGGTGATACATAGGATAATAACTAAATTGTCTCATAGGCCAGCAGTATTGAAGTCATGGTGACCACTGGACAGTAAAGTTACCATGGCAACATTGGTTTTGATCATTTCTCTTCCTCTGGTTCACTTCTTTATATGGTCATAAAACATTAACATAAGCCAATCAGAGTTGAGCTAGATTTTGCTCTGGGGTTTGACATCCAAGGCATACTTGAAGAACTTTGAACTTTAAATTTTTGGGTAAGCATATGCCTTATAAGGAACTGCTGACATTACAAAGTTAAACGCATTGGATAATAGAATCAAGGAAGTATCTCAGAGAGAGGAGGGAGGAAAGTTGACTTAGCACTCTGGAGTCAGAGTGATATAATAAAAACAAGGCAATAAATATCTAAAAGATCTCTATGTGCATTCTACTCATATTCATGAGAGATCTTTTTGAATTATAGCATTTCCTGAAGACCTTGTAATATCAATCAAATTAAGTTAGTTCACAGTCATCTTATTTGAAAAAAATGATATTTGAACCTAAAGGAAACCTCGTTTCCAAAGAGGTCATTTTATCAAAGCTGAAAATCACTCAATGCTGAAAAAGTGTTGAGACTAACTGAACATTCAATTGTGTAATTATTATTCAACTTGATTGTTATTGAGAACATTGAACAATTTTGATGGCAGGAAATCCATGTAAAATTCACATTTTATATTCATATAATGTTGAAAATAACTATTTATAAATAGAAAATGAAGGCTCACAGGAACTATTTATGTTCACTTGAATTTTTATGAAGAAAATGCATGTCTTATTATGACTGATTTTATAGCTTATTATTTATACAACAGAAAATATGAATGAATGCTACCGGTACATGTAATAAACATGATGGTAAAATAAAATTATACTGAATATTATTCTTTTGATTTTGTAACGATTTCTTGAATAATATACTCCTTTATATACCCTTGGAATAAAATGGCAACTTTAGATCAGCTGATTAGTATCCAAAATTAGGCAAAAGTAGGACCCAGGACCACTAGTGCAAATCACGGACATCAACTCCAATAAAAAAAGCTTACATTTGTCCAAAAACTTTTGATGGGTGAAAGAAAGACAGGAGACAGGACAATTTTACAGACTTATAAAGTGAGCCATTGCTATATTATGTCAATTTTTCTGTACTTCTTTCCTTCTATAACTTAAGAATCAATAAAAGAGACGCCCCTCAAGCACGCTGAAGTAACAAATATTAAAAATATATATTATATATCAGGTATGACTTTTATTTACAACACATATGTATATGGCATATAACATAAGGGTATAATACATACACTCACAATACCTAATAATAGATAATACCCATAATGCTTCGAAATAAACACAGCTACCTCATTTGTCTGATTGGATCATTTAGTAATCATCCAATAAACCTATAATAAGGAAAAACATGTGGAAACAATCAACATAATTGATCAATGATTAGCCAAATGGGTAGCTTATGAAAACCTAATGTAAGGTATTGTATTGTGATATAGTACATCTATAATACATTGTACATACATTGATACAATAAGAGTTGTGTATCCATGATGCATACAATAATACCTCAGTGAATAGAATAATACAATGTATAGGATATCCATGAGTACATTAATGGATACAATAACAGATTGTATGCACACAATGGATACAATACAACATTGTATCTCATGATAAATACAATAATACATTGTACATGTGTATCCATGGATACAATAATACATTGTATATACATGATTGATACAATATTTCATAATGTAAAACAAACTACATCAACATAATTGTTCAACTTAATCATAAGAACTCAGCCTTTTTAGAGCAGTTTAATTTTCTTTAACTATTTGTGCAAACATAATAAATCTAAACTTATCAAAAACATAATTTTCACTAAAGGGAACACAAGGCCTGTGTGAACATGTTTTTGTAGAATTTCCTACACATTATCTAAAACATTTCTTCGAAAGGTCTGATTTGGCATTTCTTCAAATCTACAATTACATATTTTGTGATTTGGCATTTCTTCAAATCTACAATTACATATACATGTATTGTGATTTGGCATTTCTTCAAATCTACAATTACATTTATTGTGATTTGTATTCATGAGATGTTGACCATCACAATGTTACTTAATATCAAAATATGTCAAGAAATACAATGGTAATTAAGCCCATATTTTCTCCTTTGCTTTTTCATTTTAATTTTACCTCAGTCTATAAACATGTTGACACCCTACCCATGATATCTTGTTTGTTGACACTGCATATACATGAAAACATATCATTGAATTCTTAATGCAACAGATATAAACAGTTCATTTAAGAGACTCAGTTTCTAATTCTGATCCTTAATACTCAAAACAATCTATAACCTGCACCATCATAGACTATGACACAAACCTACTATTCTGTATAAACATGTAATGCAGTTTGAAAAAAAGACCAAAAATTTGCTTCTCAATTACCTTTTTAAAATCGTAAGAGGTACATCAACCTTTTATAATTTATGCTCCAGGATTTCAGTCAGAGTACTTACACTTAGTCTAAGTGATTGATGGTTAATGCATTCATTCACGATTTTGCCTCACTTGAGTGATAATACCTCAATAATGGAACTGAGCCCAACAATACGTTAATACAACTGTCTTGAGTAATTCAGTGTTCTACACAAGTTTTTGTCGACAGAATTCTTGATATTGATTCTGTCACCAGCAACGTTTTATATTATAACATAATTCCCATAAAGATTATCCTGAAAGCCATATAACCAAAACTGACTATTTCATAGTTCAATGATTTTCAATTCTGTGGATTTGTCACCTAATTGAAAATGACTAAGATCATTCCTTCACTAAAATATGAACCAAATCACTTGAATATTATTAGACATTATTGTCAATTCTCATATGATAAATTACGCCAAGGTAAATATAAAGATAAGAACTGAATTTGAGATTGTAATAGAAAATGGCCTGATTAAAGAATGCCCTTCACATATTTATCATATTAGAATTGCACCAAACATCTCAATTCTTTAACTTATTGATTCAATTGTCCTTTATATTCATCTTTATCCCATGAAACGAGTTCCAGTTATTTAAAGATACAGAATGTGATTGCGATCGGAAGAATATTCAGTTTGTAAGAGTCAACTGAGATCATTATTACATCAAGTCACGTCATCTGATGTGTCATCTTGTGGGGCATAAGTGTGATACGATTCAGTCAATGCCTCTGTTACATCTTTGATAATATTGTCCCGATTTAATTTAGAAACCTGAAAAATATGAATTGATAAACATGACGGTATGACAAACAGTATAATTAAACAGTTTATGTATAAACATTTCCAATTGAAACCACAAAATTATTAAAGTTTTATCAAAATTACTTAAATTGACTATCCTTTCATACAAATTAGAATGAAGTTCCAGATCAGAACCAGATCTAATAAATCTCACTAACCCAAATGCTCTTAACATCTTTCCTCTGTCTTATTTCATCCAATATTGGAGTTGGACGGCCTTTGGGGACAGGTACAACTGCCAGAATTGTAGTATTTGGAGCATTTACAAGATCAACGACAGTTTGAGTAAAGTTATCGCTAAACATTTCCATCTTCCCTACTTCATCTATGATCCAAATTGGCATCACTTGTCCCTTTTCATGACTCAGACTCGGGAATGCAATCTTCTCAAAGCTTTCTATATCAACATTGTAGTTTCCGACACTCATTTTCTTGGGTCGACCTTCTCTGTAGTTAATTAACATTAAAAGACATCATGATTGTGCAATGTAATGAGTAGATTGGAAAAAATGAAGTAGAAGAATTGGCAGGGAGTAAAGTATGTCTATCTTAACGTAAACTCTCAAGTATATTTTTTACTTATTTAGCGTGCATGAATAAGTGGTGTTCTTTGCACAAGAAAATTGATGGGACATTAGAAAAAGAAACATTGTACTTCAACGTTTATACAATTTTAACTAATGCAGTTAAAATATAAAAGCATGTTTTGTTGTAAATTATTTGTGACAATTGTTTTAGCCATAAAAAACTAGAAAAAATTATAATAAAAGTTGCGAATTACTTACGCTACTCTTGCTAAAGGTTCTCGATTATCAGTATCAGTTACAGATACGCAATCGAATCCAATTCTCTTCCCATCCTTTCTTAGCTCTTCAGTGTAGAACCCTTGTATTGGCAGATCCTCCTTTACAAGTTGTTCAACAACTTTACGCACCACTGTCGTTTTACCCATTCCTGAAAGAATAAAAAATATGCATGCATTCAAACATCAGGATTCAAGTATTTGATACTCTGGGTAATGATTAAGGGCCATAAAGAATTGAGTAAATGTTCAAATGATTTTTCAAAAAGTGTGCTAACATTTCCCTTAAAATCTGTATTTTATTATCTGAAAATGAAAAATTTCTAGTTAAACATGGACGTTTTTTTTTTTATCAAAATCACTGTCATATAACCGAAAAATTCCAAGCATCATACTTGTATTTCTGGGTATTTTGGTGACAAATTAATAATACATAATTGCTGACTTGCGACAATCATTTTCAAGAATTCCCGATTAGTATTTAATATTCAATGATACTGAATCTACTCCGTTGAAAGCCAATACAGTCCTAAAGTCTGTTACACTGCTTCAAAGGCAAGCAGTTAAACCGGAAATATAAGAAATCTAAATAATATTGTGCAATAATATATAGAAAAATATATTCATGTTGCACACGAATGACATTTGTATATGTTGGATTGCTTGTAAATTGGCTCATAAAATCTGTTACCTCTTATATTTTGATGCTTCTCTACCATGTTAATTCTCAAAAAATAACATGGCGGACAGACCTCAAATTACAAGACGGCACAGGCTTATTGCACTAAACACTAAATAATCTGAAATATACAAATGTCATTCGTGTGCAATATGAATATATTTTTCTATACAGGGTGTCCCGAAAGTATGGGCCCCCCCCCCTAGGCAGACATATACCAGTGTCGTCATAGTAAGTGTCATATATCATTTTAAAGCTTATCCAAAGTTACATTGATTCACCAAGTATCATGGTTCAACTCTCAAATGTGAAAAAATTACAGGCATTTCAAAATTTAGTGTTTGGTCAAAATTAAGTTCAATTTTACGCCAAATCACTAGTCAATGTGTCCTCCCGGGCCATCTTAACAGCAGCAATTCTTTTCGGGTCGGATGGATATTGAGTTGGAAAAAGAGAATGGTGAGGGTAGAAACTCCAAGGAAACTCTTCTAAAGTCCCTTAACAGGTTTTAAGAGGGTTATAAAATTCCACACTCCTATTTGAAAGGCTTTTAAGGTCATATCTGAAAATAATTGCCGCTCTTAACATGGCCAAGGGGGGACACATTGACTAGTAATGTCGTGTAAAATTGAACTTTATTTTGACAAAACACTAACTTTTAAAATGACTGTAACTTTTTCCGATTTGGGAGTTAAACCATGATACTTGGCAAATCAATGTAACTTTGGACAAACTTTAAAATGATATATGGCACATACTATGAGGACTCTGGAATATGTCTGCCTAGGGGGGGGGCATACTTTCGGGACACCCTGTATATTATGGCACAATGGTCTATAGATTTCTTATTTTTCAGGTTCAACTGCTTGCCTTTGAAGCAGTGTAACAGACTGTAATCACTTTTTCTGTGTTTCAATCAAACCTAAAAAAAAAAAACAATAAGATGGTCCTGGGTAATATTGTATGGAAAAATACATTCACATTTTAGTTGCAAAATAATGGTATATATTGGATTTATTGTTGTTTGGCTCTAATAAGATGTGTATTTTGATGTTTTGACTGCAAAATGAGCAGCCTGTCAACTGTACCGCAATTTGCAGTTTTTCACCATTCTGAGCTCTTTTCAAGTGATGTGCCAAATTGGTCAAATGTGAAGCCCTGGATCTTTTTAAAAAGTGAATCCCTCTTGACAAAATCTGCCTACGGGCCTGGGCCTCAGCCTATATTTTCTGCTAAAACTTAGAGTGTCTGTAATTTTCAAAATAAGAGTGTGAGACAAAATTCCTCGAGTTTCCAATTCATTTCTTTAGTTCCGTGTTCAGAATAAGTATGATATGTTTGACAAGTAAAGAAGTTCAATTATTGTTCAGATTGTAGCAGTATTTTGAATACAATAATATTATATTTATACATTGGTCAATTATCGCCCACAATGAAAATGTTCAATATTTCGAGAGTAATTTATGCAGATTTCACTTACCTGGAGGACCAGTGAGTATAACATGACGTGGGATACTGTGTGCAGCCATTATGTGAATAATAATTATGATTGCATATTCTTCTATTCACTGTAGTTAAACGAATATATGAGACCAAAAGTACAATAAATTATTTTTCAGTTTTTGGAAAGAATGTCGGCTGAGGCTGGTTAGAAAAGAAAAGTAACCAGCTTGACCTACATTTAGAATTTTATAGATCGACAGATGAAATAAAACTAAACACGAAGTATGTAACATTAATGAATTATATGGATTTGTTTTAATATAGTAACTTCTGAAATTATTACCATTATTGCTCGTATTTATAAATTAACATAAAGATTTCAAGATTACGTTTTCATCAAACGAGACGCAACTTTCGTTTGGCGGTGGGTAAGTGTTTTTTATAAATTGCATATTTGTATCAAATTTAACGTATTTTCTGGTTAATGCACGGTAAATATTAATTGGAATTGAGCTTATAGATTGTCGACATACGATTTTATACAGTGATATAGGACTTGATGATGTGAATTGAGTTGGAAAGTATGTCTAAATCTCTAGCCTTCACATTTTTGACTTTATAAAATTATACGACAGTTGGGGACAAAAATAAATGACAGGTCGATTTTCGATCACCATTTCCTAATTATGGTGGTCTGAAAGCCCATAATTTCCAATATTGTCTAGATATATATCCCTTAAAATTTGTATATTTTACATTTTGTATAATCTCATCCACTGATGTATGGCCTCTTGTAAATTCTCTTATTTTTAACATGGGAAATCCTCACTTCAGCAAATCCACCTGTCATTTATTTATGTCCCCAACTGTAGTCTAGAGTCCATTTCACTGCTTCATTTCGTCAGTAGAACGGCAAAAATAAGAAATTGGGAGACTATTGTGCAATAATATATGGAAAAGTATATTCATAATGTACTTCAATGACATTTGTATATTTCAGATTTTTTAGTTTTTTGTGCAATAAGCCTGTGCCGTCTTGTAATTTGAAGAATTTCAGCCATGTTAATCTTATTGAAAATAACATGGCAGAGAAACATCCAAATATAAGAGGCCACACGCTTTATAAGCCAAACTAGAAGCAATCCAAGATATACAAATGTTATTCATGTACATTATGAATATACTTTTCCATATATTATTGCACAATGGTCTCCCAATTTCTTATTTTTGCCGTTCTACTGACGAACTGAAACAGTGAAATGGACTCTAGTCTATAGGTCTATTTCAGAAAAGCAACTCTCTGAAATTACAATTTCATGAGCATACTCACCATTGAAATCTCCACTCCATCAAGGAAGAGCCAAAATCCAGTTATTAGATCTAATACTAACAAAAAAACTAATTTTTTTTTAAAAAGGTGGAACCGGAAGTAGTGTGTGCTCATCCCTTGCTAGGACAATAGTCCTGAGAACGTCTCAATCTTTTGCCTGTACGATTACAACATGGGAGAATTTTCTATGTCTCTTGTCTATGTCTATGTCAATAATCTGCAAAAGGCTAATAAGCCCATATAAAGCAGATATATAATTTAACAGTGATAGAATTTGAATAGAATATAATTTAAAACCTTAACATTTAAAAATAGATCTATGGTTTACCACTATGTTGAAATACCCTGGGGCGACTGTCAGGCTACCGCGTTGACATCACCCCTCTTTACCAGTAGTGCAGGCTTGTTGCTGTGCACTGGGGACCTTTTACATTAAAACATGGATCTATATTAAAAATACACCTATTTAATTGCAGTTATTGACATAGGCATAGTATGATGATTTAAAACTACTTAGACTGTCACAGTCTAAGATGTCATCAGGTAGAGTGTTCCATTTAGCTATTGTCCTAGGGAAATAGCTAAATTTGTATGCATCCGTTCTAGTTGATGGTTGTATGAACTTAGAAGGATGATACAACCTAGTGTTGGTATTGATCTGTTGGCGGAAGTATGGAGGCACGTGGATGGCTGCTAGGTTCTGCTTTCCTTTGTAGAAGAGGAAAACTCTAGCAGCCTCTCGACGCTCCTTCAGTGGCTCCCACTGTAGGTCTTGAAGAGCTTTGGTGACGCAGCCTGGTTCCCTCGAGTGACATTTGGTTACAAACCTAGCTGCTCTTCTCTGTACCTGTTCCAACATATCAATATCTTTTTGTCGGTATGGATCCCATGCCAAACTGGCATACTCTAAATTAGGCCGGACTAGTGACTTGTACGCCTGAGCCTTCACTTTTTCAGGGCATTGATGGAGGTTGCGCCTGAGGAATCCAAGCACCTTATTGGCTTTGGATACAATAGTTTGAATATGTGTAGTCCAGCGTAAGTTATTTGTGATGTCAATACCTAGGTATACCTCTTACACTTAAGATACCTACATCAATAGGTTACTGGGTATTTTCACAGACCTATGATGATCAGTTTACACTACACTAGATTCTGTCCATGTCACCTTTAAATAATCAACTCAACTAACTGTCTATGGGAAATAAAATACCAAAGAAATTAAAACCAATAAAAATATGTCATGTAACAAACAAATGATCAGAAGGGAGGATAACACAGGATTACACCTCACCCTCCTAAATATGATGATTTAGTATTCTTTTGTGTAGTTGAATCCACAATTATTATCTGGGTTTATCAGCAGAACGGGAACATTTTTGTTTTTCATCGAGAGAGATTTCATCTCTTTTCAAGATGGCAGTTGGATTTAAAAGTGGATTCCCCGTTTGACTGGCCTGGAAGTGGCCCGGAAGTACCAATAAATGAAGGAATTTGACGGTTGAAATAAGTTAAATATCACAAGCAAATATTGCGATTAAAAACGAAAATTTCTTCGTTAAAGCCTTTGAAGTGTCAATGTTTTGACAAGTTCCCAGGGAATCATAACCCTAAGTATACATGTCCCTAGGCCTAGGATATAGACCAATCATAAACACTCATCATGGGGGAAAGATCATTTTCTATTAGCGCGTTAGCGCGTAGCGCATGTTTTCATTATAACCTGGGCTCAGTCCAAATTAATTGATAAATCAAAATCAAGAGAAAAATAAGAAAACTTACCTAATTTCTCAAAACATGAAGTACTCATAGTAAAACTTAAGACTTCTTACAGTAGGACAAAAGATGCAACGCCTAATTACAGTTCAAGTTCTGTAGTATTAGGTTACAGTGCAAATGATAAACATCCTATTACTTCATAAAATCAGTAATCCGGTCACTGGTCCAAAATGATTACTGATTTTTGATTACCATTAGTAACACCTAGTTACTATCCAAAAGTGTCTGTAACACTAGGTTACAGTTCAAATCAATAACTGGTTACTGTCCAAAAGACTAACTAAGATTTCTATCTGTGGAATGCAAACTCAATGATATACATTCTTCATTAGTTAGTTACCGCATTCTCTGTAATTAGTGCCAGGGCGTTTAGAAAATTGAAAATACATCTTTCAGACCATTTTAATAAGTCCCAGTTTATGAAAGAAGTCAAAAATCCCAGGGAATTTCATGCAATTTTTCCTGCCAACAAGAATGCCTTATTTGCAACAAAGTAACAGCATATTTTCACAATAATGATATGTTAATGTTACTCGAGAGATTATGATAAAGATCGCTAAAATAAAGCAAGGATCTTGCAAGAATCAATGTTGACAGTGATCGAAGAAATTCCCAATGAAGCCCCCGGATCTGCATTCCAAAGATCCATCTAAGATATCCGTCAAGATATCTCCGGCTTTGATTCCAGATCCAATGTTACTTTTGTCAGATATGACTGGTTGTTGCATCCTAGTGTTCAACTTTAGGGGAGGTTCTTGTTGCGTTTGAAGTTGGCTAGACTCTTCCGGGTCTTCCCATATACCTGCTACTCGGGGTAGGGGTCTTTTTAAAGGGCCTGTCATGACCATCTCCTCTAAGTATACTTCTAACCTCTTTTTCTTGAATTTCGATTCTTGAATGAGGATTTTCTTAATCTTATCGCCAAATGATTTATCACCTGATTTTTTAAGAACACCTCCATGTGCTTTCATCAGTTATTTGGCTTTGATCTTGTTATATTTCACAACTTGGGACAAACATGTAATATGTCTATGAAACATACCCAGCTTATGGGGTTGGCATAATAATAAAACAGACATTTCAAGATGCCGCTTAAGATTGTCAAGATTGACCTTAGTTCCATTTTTGCCTTGTTCAATTAAGGACCATAACAGCCCTCAAGGGCATGTAACATCTTGTCTTGGAAAGTTTTAAACCTATGCTCCTGTTCTAGTACAAAATGGTTCTGAGAGAGATGTGTCACAAACTCATCTCTTTCCTTAAACTTCAACTCCTTCTTTTTAGGTACAGGTGTGTGTTTCAGAATCTTTTCACGTATGTTTTCATAGGGTAATGTTTTCTTCAACCAAAACATCTTCACATATTTCACCTTTTTGTCTGTTAAACTCCATTCAGACTTATCTGAAGCTGTCGGGTTGTACATGTTTTCCAGACTGTCAGAGTCGATGAACTGTTAGAAGAAAAGGAGCTTGAGCCAGACTTTCTCTTTTTGGACTTCTTTGCTTTGTGTTTAGATCTAGAATGGGAATGTTTTCTTTTCTTAGAAATGTTTCTTTTAGCTATCTTATTGACAAAGTCCCACATGATCTTTTTTGAAATATTGCTATCTTCAGTGTGACTGGGTGAATTCAGCCACTCTTTGTCAGAGTTTTTAGAGCCTGATGCTCTTACATTGATCTGATCTGATCTGATCTGATGGATTGAATTAATTTATAGAGGAAGGGCATGCACTACTTCCGGTTCCACCATTTTTAAAAAAATTAATTTTTGTTAGGTAATTACAGGATTTTGCCTCTTAATGATGGAATGGCATTTTCAATGATGAGTATAAAATTTGAAAATCACAGTCAAATGCAGTTGGTTGATACACTTGGGCCATCTACTCTATCTGGGCAATCAACTCAAAACTTTTGCAAATCGCAGATGATTGTGATTGGTCAGTGTAAAAAATGTTTTGATTTGATTGGTGAATGGACTGACAGCCTTGAGTATTAGATTGGATAATTGAAATGACGGGTGCGAATAAGTTGATGGGCACAAAACTGGATTGGTAGGTAACAGAAGATAAGATGATGGTGTTTAAAACAGTACCAGAGAATGAGATGACAGAGACTAAATTACTTTTAATCAAACTGCATTTTACTGTTTTCAAAATCTGTAATCTCAAATTTGATGAATTAGATTTAAAATGTTTTTGAATACATGTTCTGTATGTATACAACTTTTCAGCTTTCTATTATAGGTTATTCATGTGGTGTAATTCTTTAACCTTTAAAGACACTGTTATGTTGTTGTCTAGCCACTTGCTGCTGGATGTCACTAGTGTCTTTTCTGTTAAATTCACTATTTACAGCTTAAAATTTTATTCACGAGGATGCCTGCATTGATTATGATTTTTAATATTATAGCGTGCATTTCCTAATAATATTATGACAATTAAATCTGGTGCACATTCTATATTTTCAATGCCCCAAATGTAATAGCTGTACTAACGGAAATTCATGTAACAGTGTAGTTTATTCCTTGGGTTAATACAACATAGTGTTGTTTTGAAAAGTAGTACTAATCAGTTATTCATGCCAATCTGTTGACATTTTCTTTTCAGCTCGCTATGCGAGACATAATAAACTGGAAATAACTTGAGGGAACCTTTGTGTTTTTGTTCCAGCACATATACAATTCATACCAGTTTACCAGTTTGATTTTCAATCACATTGGTATCAGAAGACCTTTTTTATTTAAAAAAACAGACAAATCATCTGATTGGCACTCAGGATTTAACATTATGTCAATCAGACTATTTGCTGTTTTATCTAGGATCGCATTATATTTATTCTTTCCAAATTTTTAAACCATAGTTAATTGCCCTTTATTAACTACTCCTGAGGTTGACTTTTAGCTTCTATTTACCTAAAAGAATTAGCTTGATAAAGGGTGAATAAGATGATATCTCATCAATACTGTATAAATCCTTCCTCAAGCTTTGGAACCACCCCTGTTGGAGATGTAACAAAAAATGGAGTGGGTTTACATGGCAAGAGACCCGGAATTCTTCCTAATTTTATTTCTGCTTGCACTTTTCCTTGTAGTGCAAGAGGGTGTTCGCATGCTGATAATAAATTACACGTCGTGGATTTTGGAATTTTCCCATAGAAAGGTATTTTGAAGCCCTGGCGGAAACCATTAACTAGAAAGTTTTTCTTATCCAAGTCGTAACCATCCAAAATTGTCAATAAGGCGTTTGCATTAATCGGAGTGGTAATTTTTTGGGAATTGTCAATGCTTTTCTATTGGCTATTATGCTAGAGATGATTGGGTTTGATTTATCTTTTGTTAAATCTTGAGGCACCTCTATTTTTGGTATATGGAGCTCTTGACGTGAATTTGTTGTTTTGGAGTTTGTTTTCATTATTGGATCCTGATTTTGAAGAGCATTCTGATGCTCTATGGAATTTTCCCCCACACTCTGAGCAAATGTGTTTGTACTTACAGTCAGAGTATCTGCAAAAATGACCTTATTCCAGCGGATACAGATTGGTTTTCCGTCACGAAAAGAATTCGCACTTGACACATTACTTTTGTTATTCTGAGTGTAATTTTGAGTGGAGGATTTTACCAAGTGGCTCCCAACATTGTTATTTGGTATTGCCCAATCTAACCCAAATTTTTTATTCCTACGGAAATTTTCATCATATTTAACCCAATCTGATAAGCTAAGGTTGAGAATATGAGCCCCATATTTGAAAAATTTTAAAGCTTCATTTGGATGGTATGGGATATAAACCGTCATGAATACATAAAAAGCATTTTGCCATCTGAAAATGACCAGACTTTCTTTTTGTTCTTATCACTTGGCGCAAGGGTGACTGATGTTATTAAACTATCATCGTTTTTCTGAGTATTGCATTGCAAAATTTGCTTATTTTCATCTTTGGATAACGAAGCGAAATCAACATACTCGTCATTTATAATTTTTTGCCTTTAAGTAGTACTAACATGGCTATCAAGATGTGTACCTTATATTCTTGAGTTGTCCCATATATTTGTGGGGGCGATCGTCATGGGCTGGCCCATACCAGCCTGTATTCCTTGCGCGGGTTGAATCATCCTAGGTTCTATCCCTATGCCTATCTGGCCTCCACCAGTTGCCATCCCTAGCAAGCCCCTGCCAGCTTGAAATGGAATTTGATTTAGATTCATGTGATCCCCGTTGATCTGGTATCCTGGGACGTGGTAACGTATTTGGTCCATGCCTATCTGTTGCCCTCGTTGACGTTGATCCCACTGGCCCCTGCCTGTTGGATCTTGTTGAAGATCCAGCTGGCCCCTGCCTGCTGGACCCATTACGCCTAAATGCCCCATGTCGATCTAACCTATCTACTGGTTTTGGAGGCCCATAAACGCTGGTCCCATAGCCTGTCCCCCTTGCTGCTGGCCCATGCCTGCTGGCGCCTGAAGAAGTGGGGCACCTTGTTGTATTAGTTGTTGGGGTCCTCCGTTTTGTACTGGTCCTAGTGAACCCAATCACCCGTGACGGTTACGTGATTGTAGTTTAATTATTCAAAGATCTTGTAGGTTTCCGGTACTCACAGGTATCTCATCACGATATCGATTAACAAAAGTTGTCGTAAATTGTGTGTTCTGTATTTATGTCTTCATCTGCAACCTGGATTCACAATCTTTGTCGTCTCTGAGATAATTCTTCCTTCTAAGAGTTGTTGTATTCTCAGCTTAAGAGTATTCGTGAAGGTGATCTCGTACTAGAACATCAGATTGTGCGATCCAAAATATGAATCTAGAGTATAGTAATTGTGATCCAAATGTTGAATGTTTCAGAAGGCGATCCCAATTCAGAATGTTTGATTGTGAATCCGTGGTTGCTTATATACAAGTAAAATTACATAAATCATTCTGTCAGGATTGCGCAATAATAGGCAAAAGTTGTGCAATAATTGCACAATCGCCCACGCATATTGCATCAGAAACCTGTTCAAAACCTGCTAAAAGTGGTTACTGATATATTAGTTCCACCTGACAGAATAAGCTTAAAAATAGAATCTTGTACTATTATTAGCTCAACCGGTTTAAACTAGTATCAAGTTATCAAGTACAATCTCAGGTGTCAATCAAATATTAACTCCTTCGACTGCTACCTGGTTGAACCAACATAATACAAAATAGTAACAATTACTATCAGATTCTTTACAATATTGGTACAAATATCAATGATATCAAAATAAATATCAATGATATTAAATAATATAATAAATTAATTAATTGACTAATTAATGTTAAAAAGTGAGTGGTAACACTAGTTGAGGAATTTGGGGACCTTGTTGCATTTGTTGTTGGGGCCCTCCATTTTGTATTGGGCCTGGATGAGGGAGTGTGGGACCTTGTTCCATTTGTTGTTGGTACCAGTAAAAAAAATTACTTATCATTTATTCACAAGGACAAATAATTACTTGACATATTTCCCTGTGGTCAGTAATTCATTTACTTGAACATAACATTACTAGATATAGGAATTAAAACTGATATGGAATTACTGACCAGAGTAATTGTTTTATTACATTATCTAGTAAATGAAAGTATTACCCGGTGAGGGATTTCTATATTTGCTCTTAGTAAATGAAAACTATTACTTGGAAAGGGATTAGTTATTCCTCCATATAAAAATACCACTTCTAGACTTTATGACTTATTTAAGCGAAGGCATTCTGCCTGTTGCCATTCAAAACTGAGGTTGTGCGCCTTGAGGGGGGGGGGGGTGTTTGATTTTAAGGGGTAGGGGTTACCTTACTGGCCTTTCATGGATATTGGTGTTGTGTACATCACTAGAAGTCATCCTTATAATCATATCTGATTGGGTGATCTTTCCAATGATTGTCTAGGTTGATCTAACCCTTCCACTGGCATATTGTAGAGTCCATTCATAAGCTTATATGTCTCGATCATGTCACCTCGTTTTCTCCCTAAAGGCCAGGGTTGTCAATTTCAATTTCTTCAATCTATCTGGATATTCCATGTTGTTGAATCCTGGTATTATTTTTTTAGCTCGTTTCTGCACCCTCTCTAGAGTTTCAATGTCGTCTATCTGGTAAGGGGACCAAATTGTCGCTCCATATTCAAGTCTTGGTCTGACTAATGCTTTATATAGCTGAGTCATAGTGTCTGGGATTAAATATTCAAAACTTTTTCTAATTATACCAAGGATACTGTTGGCTTTCTTTGCTATTGTTCTTATGTGTGACCCCATTTTTAGGTTCCCTGTGACTCCTACACCCAGGTCAATCTCACTTTTGCATGGACAATGGACATAACTCATGTAATATGGGTTCACAGACTCTAATTATGTTATGCTGGCTTGTGTCCCTAGAGGTGGATTAAGATGCTTCTGGCCTTTCTTCTGAGGACTTTTATGTCTCCTTGCTCAGTTGCTTTGCCAATAAATAGGTGCTGCAACAAGAGAAGGTTTATCCCAAACTTCTCTGGATATGACAGATCCAAGATATAGTACAGGGCAAAGACAGCCCTGAAGGCATGCCCAAGATTGTTTGTTGGGCCTATCACTGTCCCATTGTATATAATATAGTAAGATAACAGCTAACCATGGGTAGCCTCTTGGCGCTTCTGGAGTGGCTCTGTCTGGCTGAAAACAATATTATATAATTAAAATGTAATTGAAATGCACAGTAATTAATTGACAATTGTTATTATATTGAAACACATCATACAGTTTTCTAAAACAAAGCAGACAAATTGTCAACTTAATACATGTATGCTTCCAACAATAATTGTTTTAGACAACTGATACATCATAGTCAAAACATTTTTATATTTCAATGATATTATTTACAATACACATTGACAAGTATCTTAACTCTTATCTGTTTAGATTCATTGGATCTGGCTCACTAGCCTCCCCCTCAGGATCAGATTCATTATTGTCACCGGTGTACATAATTCCCTTCCATAATACTAAATTTGCGTCTCGCATTGTACTTTCTTATTTGAAACATTCGCATTTTACACTCTGTGAAAGTACTCTTTGCTCCATTCATTTGCATCCATCTTATTAGCCATCTCAGGAATTAAAGGCCACTGTTCCTTTTTATCAACAGTTTCTGATGGTTCTGTAATACCGTGCTATTATAGAGGGCGCACAGTTTCATTAAACATGGTATATCTTGATGAATTACATTTGTCCTGACCAAAATGTGAATCATTGTTGACGATTCATTGTTGCTGAATGTTTGAACTGCTACTTTCAACATTGTTCCCACCAAATCTTCAGTGGATGAATAGTATTCAAGTATATTGATCTCGGTTGGTAAATTAAGGCTGAACAGCAAGTTAGAGTCAATAGATGTGATTAATAGATGAACTTAGTCGGCCTCTATGTGTGGGTCTTTTGGTCCATACCTCAGTGGATTTACGTACAGCTCTATTCTTAATATTGTATGTTATGAATCATCCCCTGAAATAAAAGAAACACTGCCCAGATGACATGCACGGGAGATTCAACTGGGGGAAAAAATCTCAGGTAGAATAATTTTTTCTTGAATATCTCATTCTAGGTATTAGCCTTACATTCTTTCAGATTGGACAGGGGCCAATTAGATTAGTTCAACCCTGTTTTTAATATTTTTCAAAAATGCTTACCAATAATTGCAATAGAAATACTGTAAACAAACTATTGTGACAAGCCTTTACCGGGCTACTATAAATAAACATGTCTTCCTCTAGGCAGAGGACAAGTGCCAGCTCATCTACTAGCTTTACTTTGGGAGATGTGTTTTCAACATTTCAGAAAAAGAAAAAGGTGGGGTGTTTGGACCTTCACTGTCTCAAAGTCCAAATTATTTTATCACCTCTATGAGTGCTTGTCCTTAAGTCACCGCACTGGTTTAACATATGCACTTGTTTAAACCTTTAGAAAATAGCCACACTCAAATATACAATCTGAAATCTGTTGCGATAAGAGTGTTTTATCCTTACATGTTTTGTTTATTTTGTGATATGATGAAAGTTGTTATATAAAAAAAAGCTGTTGGGGACATCAATCTTATTTTACAGTTCCATCTTTGGATAGAATACTCTAATTTGCAGACATTTAGTGTACAGAATAACTGGAAGACATGTGATCATAGCAGTGAATGGTAAAATATTTTGGATCATTAACTGTTGGACATGCTTAATAGTGGTGGATTGGTTAATATATACAAATATGGCCACATTTTCAACGTCATCTACATATAGCGAGCAGAAGTTTCTATTTTCATGGGATGTCTTTTTTGATATTTCTTTGACAGGAAGGTAAGATGTTTTGCAGTATTTCACAGAAATTCTTTGAAAATCGATGTGCTGAGATTTGAGAAATTCTTAGTTGGACTTTGTCAATTTAACATAGATCCCAATGGAACAAAAAGCAAGGAGAGTTCTACCTAACTTCCCTGGTGCTTTGTGATGTTATGACATCACGCCTGGTGATTGTACAAAATGGTGGAGACTATATAACTAAAGACATAATTACTAACGTCTAATATTAAACTATCCTAATGCCCCTGTATATGTAAAAAAATCAACCAAATATATGTTCAGAACAGAGACTAGGATAACACATTGCTCATTATGAAACTGAACAATGTGTTGAAGTTCTAGCTGAGCAAGTGTGCTATCCTAGTTGAAGTTCTAACTGAGCAATTGTGTCATCCTAGTTAAAATTCTAAACTGAGCGATTGTTTTATCCTAGTTGAAATTCTAACTGAGCAATTGTGTTATCCTAGTTAAAATTCTAAACTGAGCAATTGTTTTATCCTAGGTGAAATTCTAACTGAGCAATTGTGTTATCCTAGTTGGAATTCCAAATTCTTACTTAGTTTGGTTTAAAACTTTGATTGGTTCAAAACTTTATAGACAGGTTCCAATTTCAGAATATCTCAAGGGAAAGGGTTTTTGGGGCATTTTTTAGAAAAAGCAACAGACCTATTTTTTCTGGATCAGTTTTTCATGCTGATAAAGATATTAAAAGATGACAGCTCAACGGGGTGGTCACGACACTGAATTTTAGCGTTTTTACCCCCCTAGGGAATTATTTTAGGGGGTACTATAATATTAGTTCATAACTCAAAGGATACATAAACTATTGTTCTGAGTTCTACAGCATACATTGTTAGTACAGAGATGAATACTACCCTAAAGTTATAGGTTGATATCTTTGTTGGTTTCGGAAAAATACAATTAATTAGAAAAAAATATGCAATTTTTGTCATTTTTTCTTGCTTATTTTATATTTGTAGCTTCAAGCAAAATATGATAACTTAAACAGCTCAAAGTAGTATTCTAACAACATTCCCAAGCTATGTGTAATATTGTTATACATCTATTATAGTGATGAAGTACTATTTTGTAATTTTAATATGACTATGCCCTACCCCTGGTAAATAGAAGAAAGT